TACCTCAGGATACGAAATTAATCCGTTCCGAAACTGAGATCGTATCATGAAAATGTCGTAAGGTGGATCATCTTTTCCCATACGATTACATGTAAAACCAAATAATTCGTTCCAACGCGAAAAACATACTCAAATTAAAGCCAAGTAATACATTTAAAAAAATAACTGTAGTAAGAAAAACAAATGAAAAATGCGAAGTAATGTAACGTCGTATGGTGAGTTTTTGTTCGTATCGTGAAGCAAAAATATGTTCGAATTTCATGTCGTATCCTGAAAATTTCGTATGCTGGGGCGTTCATAACCTGAGGTACCACTGTATATTAATAATCTACAATACAGATTCTGCAATGTCAGGTGTACAGATTCTGCAATGTCAGGTGACTGCTGGAAAGGCACTACATTAGTGAGAAAGTGATGTTCAAAACTTCTCTACATAAAAAATTTAATACATTTGTTTTATGAGCATGCTTCAGTATTAAATTTACTTCTATCTACATGACAACTTAAAGAAATATTAAATTATTACCTTGTGTTGTACTTTCATCAAAAGAACCCATTAAAGGAACAACTCCTTTGTCAACTTTAATTCCAGGAATTATACCTTGGTTTTTCAAAAGCTGAATGAAGGTAGTACCATCATCTGCTTTTTGATAGGCAGTCTCGTGAAAAAGAATGACCCCACTAATGCTCTCGCTCATACTTTTACCAGACGTAAAGAGCAGCTGGCGAAACCGACGACGGTTTTCTTCCGTATTCTCTACTCCAATATTGGCAAGGCGCTTTCCCATCGTACCTATAATTTAAAACACTGCAATACAAAGAAAATCCACTTCCCCAAACCATTAAATAGTTACGCTTACCAGTACTTTCATCGGCAGCAAGGATACCCTTTCCGGGTGCCACAATAGCATCTGCTACTTTCTTCAATTCCTTCCGGCTTTCTTCACTCAAATAATTGAAGTGAGCCATTGTAACTAAAGAATGTGAGAAAATAAATTTAATTTGAAAAAGAAAGTTGTAGTTAATTGAATATACAAAGATTTTTTGAACAAAAGATTATTACTCCATCCAAAAACCTACAAAATAGGTACTGTATTAGTTATGAAGTATTTAAAAGCCGAGGAGGAATAAAATTCTATATATTGGATAGTACAAAATACAGAAATTGATTAATTTTGTAATTGAATTTCATAAGCAAGTCCATAACGAGAAGTGATTGCGTAAAATGATATTTTGCAATATGTCCACATATGTAATTGGTAGAAGTTACTTTGAGGTAATTTGTGCATAGACTTACATGAACCAATTACATAAAATTAACTTTTACCAATAAATTAAATGAATAAATAATTTAAAATTTTCATTGAATAAGCAAACATTTTTACAATGCAAATTTCTGTTAATTAACTTACCAGCAAACTCTGCGTGAAATAGGGAATGTTGAAGTAAAAACAAACTTTTTTCCAAGATACACAACGTCCACAGTTGACGTCTATCTACCAAATGGGCGTAAGCAACTCGAGAGGCACCGTTTTATAAACTTTTCGTTTGTAAAAAATATTACAATTAATATTATATAAACTAATAAATTACGACTTAAACTATTAATTAATACGTATCACAATTTTTAGTTTGTTTTGAAATTTACATTCCTTTTTGTTATTTTACTTTGTGATACAGGTGGCGGAAGTGTCAACTTTTTAAATTCGCGTTCAGTTTCGAGAGTGAAGTCCGTTCTAGTGTTGATGCAGAATTGGGTCAAGGTTATATTCGTTGGAGACGAAAGTTGTTTCGAAAAATTGCGTTTTAATTAATAATGTCTGGATAACGATTTCTAAATTTATTAGGTATTGATAAATGCTTTCGTTTTTATCCAAACTTTTCGTATTCACCAAGTTAATGAATGAGATTGTGTCCAAGGTCACTCGCTTGTCAATTAAAGGATTAGTCTCCATGACAAACTCATTGAACGATAGCTTAGAATTGGACGATATCCTCCAGAATTCGAAATCCAGACTAAATTATCTTGATTTCGAACGAAAATGCAAAATTTTAACCCTCAACGCATTACAATAATTGAGTAGGGGCGTCTCGTCCTCTTATGTCAGCAAAGCTATGGCACCTACAAATATAGTANAAGTAAAGAATAAAATTCATTTTAAAGCATACTTCCATACAAAATATTATCTTTTGTCAATGATTTAATGTATTTAATCGAAATATACATAGCAATAATCATGTTGCAGACAGAGTGAGAAATAAGTAAACAACAATTCAAATTGGTGTGCATGCTTGCCTGTGTGGCACATAAATTCTTGTGCGTGGCAACAATTTGAGCAGTGCGTGGCCGCGCAGCTTAGAGGGAACATTGTCCATGATGATATATTTTTTCCAAAATTGCACCAAATAAACATAGATTTAGGGAGAGTACATCTTTTTGCCAACTTTTTCTGATTGATTTGTGTTCATCAATAATCGTATTATGTATGAATCAATAAAATGCCACAATAATTTAAATCAGCGTAAATTTTGAGCTTTTTTTTAGGCTTCAAACAGATGACGTTATATTGAATCAGTGTTAAGTGGGGTCTTACTGTATTTATAGAAGGTAGAATGAATTCAGAAAAGTATCAAGAACTGTTGTATCAAAATTTAATAACTTTTGGATCACTTATTGGGCAAAAAACTGGCAATTCCAACAGAATAAACTACTGCCATTCATGCATCTAAGTCAACTAAAAATTGGTTTGCCGAAAAAAAAAATTAATGTAATTGATTGGCCATCATGGAGCCCTGATATGAACCCGATAGAGAATGTTTGGGGCATTATGTTGTAGCATTGGGGGTCTTGTTGGCCAAAACAGACAATACAACACTGTAAATGAATTGAAATTAGCTTTCATGGATTGTTGGGAAAATATTAAACAACTTCAAAAACCAGTAAAATGTATGCCTGATAGAGTATTTGAATTAATTAAATCAAATGGTGGACCTACAAAATTTTGAGACATCAGAAATTGTTTTTTTTTTATGCACATGTGTTTATACTTTTGAGACAATCAAAAATTGAAAATATGTGATAATTTTTTTTGTAATTGTCAGATAGCTCTAAAAATTTCAGGAAACGTTTAAACTGATGTTGTAAACAACATACTAATATAATAAATTCATTACTACTGTTAATGCTTTTGTTATTGAAAAAAGTTGAGTGTGTTTATAATTTTGAAATGGACTGTAGTTTATTCCAAAATCATCAAATCACTATCCAAATGATTTTTAATTAAAAATTGGTAAATAAACTTATTTTTATTGTAGTAACATTTCTAAGCTACATACTATTTTTATTATATTACAACATATCATTTATCTAATATACATTTTTAATGTTTCAGATATTTAATAAGCTTTTGAACAATTGATTTAATCAAGTTCAAAATTTTCATTAATAAACGTTGCTTATTATGTATAAAACTTAACTGATACTAAATTTGTCAGAAACTTTAATTTAATGGATGGTCTGCAAATCAGTTAGGTCTGACTTATTTATACTAGTGTAATAGCAAAGACTAAGGAAACAATCTTATGAAACTCTTAATTTGATTACTAATTTATTAAATGATCTGTGTTAATTTTGTTTTTAACTTATGTTATGTAAGCTACGTAAATAGAATCATGAGGTAAAATCACTGGCTTTTATATTTTTTTATGAAGAATTTTATTGATACTTAGTGATTTTATTTTAATTAATCTTACCATTATATTTTGTAGCAAAGATTTTGTTACTGAAGATTGTTAAACTTTAATAATATACTTTGTATTTTCTAGCACATTTTTTGTGAGGAATGTGTGTCAATATGGTTTGACAGAGAAAGGACTTGCCCCATGTGTAGGGCAGAGATTGCCGACGACCCGTCTTGGAGGGACGGCTCCACTACCTTTCTAATACAGATATTCTAAAGTAAAAAAACTACAGTTTTGCTCACTTTTTTATAATTATTTTAAAACCATTTAAATAAAAATAAAACAATATTAGAAACTATTTTTTACAACCTCATTTAAAAAATTGAAGATATTTTTTTTATTTAAATGAATCTTAATTTGTATATGAATGTTTGTTTGTATGTGCTAGTATGTGCATATACATAAAATTTCTCCTTTTTACTAAATTTACTGTAAACATTCCAATTGGTTTGAAAAATTAAAAACATCCTTTAAAGTGATTATTGTTTCACTTTACTAATGTAAATTATCATTTTTGAAATTATTTTTTTGGGTTGTTCATGGATGTAAAGAAAGAGTATGGCCCTTTGTTCTATCTTGTATGTATTTTACTTTATTGTTAAATTTTAAGAAATGCTCTGTATTTATGATTGTATTGTAATTCAAATATTTCTTAACTTGTAAATGCATTGTTAAAATTGTTTTTAAATAAAAGGATTGAAATTGTAATTAGTATCTGATATATTAATTTATTAAAACATGTGATGGTCCTAAATCCAGTTAACCATGTTTTATATTTCAGGTACTGTACACTAGTGAATGTGAATTGTAAATTTGAATTTCTTAAATTGTCATAACTTATGTATTGAATAAGAGGAAACTCATTTCAAATTTTTGTAAAATTGTAAAATAATAATAATTTTTCTTTTTTGACAATCTCTGTCAGTTGGCATTGTCAGCATTGTGGACATTAAAGAATTTTTTCCGTCTTATATCCATTATGAATTTTTTATCATGCCCACAAGGAGATGATGAGAAGATCTGACATAACTGGAATGGACCACTCAATCCTGGGGTTGCTTGCACAATTGGATTTGATTCCAGGTTTCCAAACCAGCAGACTGACTCCTTAACTGCCTCCAGCCATCGGTGATAGAGTACTGTGTGATTGTAATTAAAGTACCCGTACCAATGCTGTCTACAGAGATATTTAGTAGTCCAAATGCAAGCAAATTGGTACAGTGACATTTTGGGATGTGAAAGACTATTGGAAAAGAAAAAAAATTAGTACTAAAATTGACCACTATGACACTAAGGTGCTACAAGCAACAATAAACCAGTATCCTTTGTAAAAGCATGAGTTACAACCAAGTTCTCGGTATGAAAGGGTCACAACTATTAAGTGCCATTCTTATCAGTTATGGCTTTGCCAAAACTTGCATTACTTATGAAGGCTTTTTTATGAAAATGATGGTAATCATCTCATAATAGTTTAAATTCTTGATAGCAAAATTCTTGGAGTCATGCCATGGTATGGCTCCACTTCAAGAATTTTGTTGTCTTAAGAAATGCCATGGACCATTTTGATTCCACAAGCTCTCAGGGAAATGCTAACTCAATTTGAGGAAACTACTTTTGGGAATTCAATGTGAATGAGAGTGCAAACAATCAGTTCAACATGTTACCGTGGCTGCTATTAATAGTCAATGAATGATACTACAGGTTCCACTAGTGTTTGTGCAGTGTTATGGCAATTGAATGCATCCTATGGCATGGTGTGGAAATGTATTGAGAAACTTGATTCATTGTTATCTGTATATCCATGACCAATAGTTGCTTGCTATTGATGGGAATACAAACCTTTCTTGCCAGAATAGGACTGGATGTGTCATGACCATGGAAGATCCTGTGGAGCAATGAGGAATATCTTTTACCTCAGTGAAACAGTCAACACAACTGCCGCCGATTGAGTGCTTTCAATACTCCGTTAGTAAAGTTGTTATAAAAAGTCATAATTTGAATAAATTTGAACTTTTGTTATTATGGATGATATTTTGAATGAGAATCGTTCGTTTCGATGAAATTTTCTTATAAGCATAAAAGTAAGTGATAAAAGTAAAATAGCTCTGGGGAACATTTGTGAATCAATCGACCAGGAAGGTAGGCCAGTACCTAACTGATAACAAGAAAGGCTTAAGTTTAAAGTTTGAACTTGGCAAAACAGAGGAATAATTACAGTTAGCTATTGAACCTTCGGATTTTACACCTTCAGAATATTTTAGACCCAGTGGATTTTTCTACAAGCGTCTGCAGTGCTGGATGAAGAAAAATGGGAAGAAAATACAGCTTTTTGGAGATTTTTGCACTTTTTAAGTGCTTAATTTCAGCAACTGCTTTATACAAAATCTTGAAATTTTGCATACTACCAAGAAAACAATTTTCCTTTGAACGACATGAGATACTTGAAATTACTAATGTATAGTAAATTTGCAGCAATTCTATCCTTTTATGTATAGAACTGCTGCAAATTTACTATACAAAGGTTAGGAATTACACATATGATGTAACTACTATTTTACATTGTTCAGGATGCATAAAAACAATTTGTCAAAACTCATAGTTTCCTATATTGCAGCAAACAGCAGAAATTGTAAAAAAAAAACTGATTTTAAGCACCACAAAAGTATAGAATCGACTAATAGATGAAAGCATTAAATGCTACAAAATACTTTAATTTAGTAATTTATTTGCACACATCCTTTACTAGCAACAATTGAAAATGCAATTTGGTACGCTGTCAACAAAATTTTTTATGATTGATACCTCAAGGGAATTCCAAGCAGTGACAATTGCTTGTTTTAAGTGTTCAACGTTGGCATTTTGATGATTTTGGTCATAAATTCAACCAACCAAGATCCCCAAACGTTTCCTATATGGTTGCAATCAGGCGAATAAACTGACCAATCCTTTTATTTTCAGACTATTGTTTCGTATATTATGATGTATGGATAGATGTGTTGACCTTTTGGAAAATAACGAATTCTTCTGAATCTATGCTTGTATGGCAGCAATTTGTTCTCCAGAACTTGTTGATAGTCAGCACTGTTCGTGCGACAGGTAACAAATGCCAAATCCAATTTTCCCAATGCAGAAAAAGCACCCCAAACTATAACACTTCCATCACGAAAAGTACTTGTGCTCTTTTTGTAAATCACACCGGTAGAATGCTAAACCATCTGGACCATCCAAATTTTTTTTTTCCCCCAAAAAGATTACTATATGACAAAAAGGTTATTTCTTGTGCTAGCACAATAGATCTAAACGAAACAAAAAACTTACCTTATTCCATTGAGTGACCATATTTTTCCTAGCAAAATTGAGTTGGGTAGCTTTGTGCTCTGGCTTAAGAGCAGGACACTTCTCATTCGAGACCAAACATTTTTGTTGTGTAAAACACTTAGAACGGTTTTGTGATGTACTTGAATACCCAAATTGTCTTGAATTTGATGTGTGGATGTGGTGGATTAGAGGCTGCATTAACAATTCATCTGAGGTCTCGTGGGGTAAGCTTTGAAGGATGTCCATTTCTACGCTTTAGTCTATAATTTGCAGGATTTGACAAATAATGCCGAACTACCTTTTTTGAACACTTGACACTGTTTGCAACTGCCTGATGACTTAAACCAGTACTTCTCAAAGCTACAATCTACCCTTTCTCAAAGTCTGTTAAATGGGTACCTTTGTTAAGTTATGGCAATGCAACACTTGGACAATGCCTTCTGTGAAGTCTTTTTGAGGGAAACTGGCCCATATTTAGGCATTATAGACATGGAGAAAACCCAAAAATCTCCACTTGGCCAGCCTGTCTGGGCGAGGTGCAAAACCCACAACTGAATTTTTTAGGAAGGTCTGGACAGACCTTCCCAAAAAATTCCTGTGGTTTTTCAGCTTATCCAGTTCGATCCTGGTCTCCAGAGCTGTATGTTGTTTGTTACCTTAACTACTCGACCATCCAGTCATCAACAAATGACCATCATCACTTAGTAGTCAGATAGGCATGTTCATCAATCTTATCGGTGGAAAGCTGTGTAGTGAGAGATGGGGCACATGTGTGAATCAACCCCCTGTAAATTCGAATAGACCTGACCTGTAACAGCAGGATGCTCATTTATTATTTCATACTTTCATTCTATTTTAATTACAGTATATGGGATTCTTTAAAATTATTTTATTTAAACCTTATTTCTTTACACCGATTCTTTGTGGAATCCATTTTTATAACTAATTAGACAATTTACATACTCAAAATGTGCCTTCCAAAAGAATAAAAAAAATGAGTTTACTGATAAATATATATTTAAATTATTTTAACCTCTTCCCCCCTTTCAGTGTAGACATTTACTGACAGCCCTTAATGATCAGAACTCCCCCTAAGAGATTATAATTTAAGCATATTCAAAACACAGCCAACAAAAATGTGAACAGAATATAACTTGTAGAAAGTATTGTGTATAATGATTATCATTGCTGTTTGTCTTCAGTTGTAGACTGAGCTTCTTGACATGAGATTAGACATTCCCATGACAATATTAGTTAATCTTAACTGTAGAATAATTTTGATATATAATTGCAATGGTAAAATTGCTTTAGTTTTGGAGCTCTCGAATCCTAGGATCCATATGCAATCCAGCCATGTAATTTTCCTGAAAGTTTTGCAGATTATTATACAATATAATGGTATAATAAACAATATTCAGTTATTTTGTTTTTCTATTGTGGAAATTTTTCTATAGATTTTTGTTTTTCTTCACTTTTGAAAGCACTCCAAGATATGTAAAAAGCATTAGATATATACTGAATTGAAGTACCAATATCTGTAAATCAAACTAGTTATCTAGTGATAACAGTTAAAATATACACTATATATTAGAAATATATAATTGTTTTCCTCCATAAAAATTCAGTTTCAGTGTAAACAGAACTAAATCAAAAATAATTGTGCACATCACACTCAAATAAGCCATTTCACATAAGAATTTAACTAAAATTTTTAAATTGATAACTTATCTAATGTTGAACTATAATTCAGTCACTTCAATGACCTTTATCAAATTAGATAACCAGATCTTTGATAAATTGTGAAATGACAAAGATCATGCAAAAGTTATCTAAGAAATGTTCTTAGTAACAAATAAGAAAAATTTTGCAAACATTTATTGAAAAAAGTTGTTAGTAAAACTACAAAATTTTATTTTTATATTGATTATGCAATTTTACAGAAATTAGTTATCAAAAATATATATGATTTTAATAAAAAGTATTTTTGTAAAGTATTACATTTTGTAAACAATGAAAAATTTGGCACTTAATATGCATGAGTAGGAACAAAATTTGATTTTGACGCAGAGACACTTTGAACAGAACCAGCTTTGTATTCACCTCTTCTAGCCAATCCATTAGCCTAATATAAATAAAAAAAACTAAGTATCAGAATGTATTTTAAAATACATTCTAAGATTTGAAAATACACTGACCTTGGCTCTCTTCAAAAATTCCTCTTGTGCAGCTTTAATGTTTTCAGGTTTACCTGACCAAGCTTTAAGAGCACTAGCTTGAAGGGCACGACCAAAACTGAACGATAGAGCCCAAGGTTTCTTGCCCAAATACTTATTAATTGCATCTAAATTTACAGTTGCTTCTTCTTCAGATTGTCCACCAGAGAGGAATGTTACTCCTAAGTTTGAACACTTAAGTTATTGTATATATATGTATACATTTCATTTGAATAAAAAGTGTATTAAAATTTACCAGGCATTGCAGGAGGAACAGTTCTTTGAAGGGCAGTTACTGTTGCTTTTGCTATATCTTCAGGAGAATACTTCTTTGAAGAACTCTGACCAGCAGTGACCATATTTGGTTTAAGTAGTGTTCCTTCCAGGTAAACATGATGATCATTTAATGCTTTGTAAACTGCAGCAAGAACTGTTTCTGTAACTTTCTGAGCTCGTTCCAAGTCATGATCTCCATCTGGAAGGACTTCTGGTTCGACAATTGGAACTAGACCATTCTATAATATAGAAAAATGTAAACAGTTAGTTTTGATTTGAAATTTAGCTTAATTATTTGCATTTGATTTAACTTTTTATTTTCATATGAATTTCAATGAAAATGTGGCTAAATACCATGAATTATGTATATCAGTTAGAAGAGGATACCTGTTGACAAACAGAAGCATATCTAGCTAGGACATTTGCATTTTCTAAGATGGCTAATGGTGATGGAGTATGAGAAGTTATTTTAAGTACACAACGCCATTTTGCAAATTGACATCCTATTGATTTATACTCCTGGCATCGTTTTGCAAGATCGTCTAATCCTGTAAATAAATTTTAAAAGTTGTCAGATTGAATGATACAAAATGAAGTTTAAATTTCTTACAAATTGCTGATTTTTTAAAGTGCATTACAATATGAAAGTAATTTATGAAAGTTTTTTGTTTTTGATTGATATTTAATGAGATGAGGACAGTTTACCAAGAGGAGTTTCTACAGAAGAATGGCCTCCTATTTAGGTGTTAGACATTAAGAAAACCTAGAAAACTCAATATGGCCAGTCCATAGAACCAATGTTCAGTGGTTTATCCACAGCCACTACTGGGTTAGTGAAGCCATTGAGAATTATTGGAATAAATTTAGAAAAAAAAACACATTCATAAAAATCATCCATCAGTTTCATTTGAAAGATTACAATTAAAAAAATAAATATATTTTTTTCTAACATTATATTCAACAAATGATTGAATACTAAGGTTAATATGTCCTAAGTTTTCATTACATAGTTCTTAATTGTACTTAAATATGCAACACATTATATATAGTAGAATAACTGTTAAAGCAAGAAGATATGAAGACTGAAGTGTAGGCCTATGGAGAAAATTACCCACAAATTTTGTCTAGAGGACCAGTGGCTACTTCTATGAAGAATTTACCATCTTGAGTTTGAGATTTCAAAAATGTAATCTGATGAAAACAATCTCTATTAGAATTAGGCAGGATAGAATTCACCTATGTACAGTACACATTCTATCCTGAATACACATGTGTATTTAGAAAAAGAAGGAAATTGGCTTAGAATAGCTCTAGGTGGTGCTCAGTTGTCAGACTGAGTAAGAACTCTTGCATCCATCACAGAGAATTATGATAAAAATCATTCCTCCTGAAAAGCAAGAAAAGTTAAATGAAAATATTTTAAGAATTTAATAAAAAGGCATTATTTGTAATATAGTATATGGTACCCATATGAAATATTTTTGCAATAAAAAATATTTCATATTTGTGTTGAATAATAGTTTGAGTTTTCTGTACTAAAATCGTATTGGCATATTGATAAGATTTATCATCCAGACGATGATTAAATTGCTATCTATTAGAATAACCTGTTACACAAAGAAAAGGTTATAAGTTTCTTTGCAAAAATAAAGGGAACAAATGAACTTTGGTAAAATAAAAACTATTGATTTATATAACTGAAGAATCTATATGAATTTATTGAAATTTAATTAGAGAAGAATGAAGGATGTCATTTAATAAGGGTTTTTATAACATTATGAGAATAATTACTAAACTGTGGTAAATGATAGAACAGATTCATATAATACTAAAATATTAGAAGTTTTGCATCAGTGTTCTAGATAGTTTTGGAATTATGTTTTGAAAGTTTTTGGAAAGTTTTAATACTTCCAACAATTCTCTTTTCATGTTTTAAATACTGAGACTCAAGAAATATTGTATATATATATTTTTTTTTTATGAATTTAAAATACTGTATCTGATATTGAAGATTCTCTTTGAATGAAATTTTGTAATTCAGTACAACTTTGATAAAATATATTTCTAATGAAAATTAACTGATTATTTTATAGGAGAGAAATTGAATTAACTTATTTTTAACATTGAATTCACTTAACCTCACCCACATAAAAACAGTCAATATATTTCTCTTACAATCATTTTGCATTATTATTAAAAAAAGAATAAATTTAATATTTGAATTGTTTGCAAATGTTATAATGCAAATACTGTATGACAATAAATGGAAATTATATATTAGAATTTATAAGCAACAAAAATTTCCTGAATGCAAATATTGCATTTTCTGTTATTTCCTATATTTATATTAATGTATCTACATTAATATAAATATTGTACATACTAGATATGAAAAGCAAGTTGAATAAGCAGTGGTACTTATTCACATTTGATAAAGAGATAACATTAAAAAATTAATGTTTGAAGTAAGAAAGTGATAAACACACAACATATGTAAAGCTGAAATTATTACAGTGGTACCTCAGGATACGAAATTAATCCGTTCCGAAACTGAAATCGTATCATGAAAATGTCGTAAGGTGGATCATCTTTTCCCATACGATTACATGTAAAACCAAATAATTCGTTCCAACGCGAAAAACATACTCAAATTAAAGCCAAGTAATACATTTAAAAAAATAACTGTAGTAAGAAAAACAAATGAAAAATGCGAAGTAATGTAACGTCGTATGGTGAGTTTTTGTTCGTATCGTGAAGCAAAAATATGTTCGAATTTCATGTCGTATCCTGAAAATTTCGTATGCTGGGGCGTTCATAACCTGAGGTACCACTGTATATTAATAATCTACAATACAGATTCTGCAATGTCAGGTGACTGCTGGAAAGGCACTACATTAGTGAGAAAGTGATGTTCAAAACTTCTCTACATAAAAAATTTAATACATTTGTTTTATGAGCATGCTTCAGTATTAAATTTACTTCTATCTACATGACAACTTAAAGAAATATTAAATTATTACCTTGTGTTGTACTTTCATCAAAAGAACCCATTAAAGGAACAACTCCTTTGTCAACTTTAATTCCAGGAATTATACCTTGGTTTTTCAAAAGCTGAATGAAGGTAGTACCATCATCTGCTTTTTGATAGGCAGTCTCGTGAAAAAGAATGACCCCACTAATGCTCTCGCTCATACTTTTACCAGACGTAAAGAGCAGCTGGCGAAACCGACGACGGTTTTCTTCCGTATTCTCTACTCCAATATTGGCAAGGCGCTTTCCCATCGTACCTATAATTTAAAACACTGCAATACAAAGAAAATCCACTTCCCCAAACCATTAAATAGTTACGCTTACCAGTACTTTCATCGGCAGCAAGGATACCCTTTCCGGGTGCCACAATAGCATCTGCTACTTTCTTCAATTCCTTCCGGCTTTCTTCACTCAAATAATTGAAGTGAGCCATTGTAACTAAAGAATGTGAGAAAATAAATTTAATTTGAAAAAGAAAGTTGTAGTTAATTGAATATACAAAGATTTTTTGAACAAAAGATTATTACTCCATCCAAAAACCTACAAAATAGGTACTGTATTAGTTATGAAGTATTTAAAAGCCGAGGAGGAATAAAATTCTATATATTGGATAGTACAAAATACAGAAATTGATTAATTTTGTAATTGAATTTCATAAGCAAGTCCATAACGAGAAGTGATTGCGTAAAATGATATTTTGCAATATGTCCACATATGTAATTGGTAGAAGTTACTTTGAGGTAATTTGTGCATAGACTTACATGAACCAATTACATAAAATTAACTTTTACCAATAAATTAAATGAATAAATAATTTAAAATTTTCATTGAATAAGCAAACATTTTTACAATGCAAATTTCTGTTAATTAACTTACCAGCAAACTCTGCGTGAAATAGGGAATGTTGAAGTAAAAACAAACTTTTTTCCAAGATACACAACGTCCACAGTTGACGTCTATCTACCAAATGGGCGTAAGCAACTCGAGAGGCACCGTTTTATAAACTTTTCGTTTGTAAAAAATATTACAATTAATATTATATAAACTAATAAATTACGACTTAAACTATTAATTAATACGTATCACAATTTTTAGTTTGTTTTGAAATTTACATTCCTTTTTGTTATTTTACTTTGTGATACAGGTGGCGGAAGTGTCAACTTTTTAAATTCGCGTTCAGTTTCGAGAGTGAAGTCCGTTCTAGTGTTGATGCAGAATTGGGTCAAGGTTATATTCGTTGGAGACGAAAGTTGTTTCGAAAAATTGCGTTTTAATTAATAATGTCTGGATAACGATTTCTAAATTTATTAGGTATTGATAAATGCTTTCGTTTTTATCCAAACTTTTCGTATTCACCAAGTTAATGAATGAGATTGTGTCCAAGGTCACTCGCTTGTCAATTAAAGGATTAGTCTCCATGACAAACTCATTGAACGATAGCTTAGAATTGGACGATATCCTCCAGAATTCGAAATCCAGACTAAATTATCTTGATTTCGAACGAAAATGCAAAATTTTAACCCTCAACGCATTACAATAATTGAGTAGGGGCGTCTCGTCCTCTTATGTCAGCAAAGCTATGGCACCTACAAATATTTATACTGGAAATAAGAGAAAATACAGTAAAATCCTGTTTATATAATGCTCATGGGGGACTAGGACTGATTCAGATAATTGGAAAATTTGTTGTCATGATATAAATAATACGGTTTATATACATTTTATTTATATTTCTAATTTCTTCTGTAACAACTTACTTTCTTTTAGACATCATTTTCATAGTATTTAGTTTAAAAAGATTGAAGGCGACTGAAACTTGGCAAAACAATAGTAGTAGCGGGTGTTCGATGAATAACGAATCATGTGGTTACAAAAGAATAAACTTATTCAACAGAAAAGTAACAATTTTAATAATTGAAAATTTTAAAAGGTTGGAAAAATTCAACAAGGTATCAAATAAACTCAAAGAATGTTCCCATGAAATGCATAACAATGAACATCATGATCATTGTTATGCATTTTGTGGGAACACTGAAATTAGGGGGGGAAAAAACTATTCTGGCAAGTACAATGTTACATTTTGGGGAAGAATGTACTTAGGAGTTTGATGTGTTTTGCATTTGTAGGTTTTTCTGTATATCTGTCTCATATTCTGAGACAGATTGTTTTATAATCTGGTATAATGAGTTTGACTTTAAAGAAAAGACATGATGGAGAGGGATGAGAGCCAACCTTCTTGATTGACATTTTGTATATGAACTATCAGTATTAGACATATATATCAGTCAGTAAAATCAATCTCCATGCTAATGTTTTTTCAGTGATAAATTTTTAAATACAGTTCTGTAGTTGAGAATGTGTAACAATTATCAGAAACGGCTTTAATGAATTTAATTGTCACTATGCGAATTATGTGTAGAAGAAATGGAAAAAAGTTATAATTTCAAAGAGAATGAAAGAACTGGATAACTTGTAACTAGTGTATGTAGAGATTTTGCAGCCATTCTGAATTTGAATGTGTTACTTACAATGTGCACTTTGAATATTAAAGTAAATATTCAAGTTTATATTAATTTTTATTGCATGAGTTGAATATTGCAAACTTATGAAAATGCAATTTTTTTAAGTATAGATTTTACTGTTTGTTTTTCTTTCTACAATGATGTACAGATTATGTAAAGAAAAAGTCTATAAAAAAGCAATAACATAAAAATTTTAGTTGTGTACTTTATAATTATCACTGCAAATTATATACCTTATATAGTAAATATTCAACTCTAACAATTGCTTCATATTCATCTGTGAACTGAGAGATTCATATTGTTAATAAGCAACTGATATTCAAAGCATTAATGAAGGTTAAATATATTCAAAACTTGAAATTTAAAACTTAGAAAAAGTTTTTCTATCTAAGCAACCATTATTATGATGATGATAACTCTGCTTTTTACTCTTACATTAATAATATTTAACATATTTGTATTTATATAAACAAAACAATTGTGAACAATATGTTGGGCTTATCTTAAACCAGCAACCAAATATTTAAAACTTATTAAACTTTGATCATTGTAAAAACTAATTTTAAAATTACCTAAAATGCATTTCAAGTCACGGAAGGAAATTAAATTTCAAAATGCATTTTAGGTAATATTTGTAATAGTTGTAATATTTAAATTAGAATTTTTATGATAACCACAGTTTAATAACTGTTTTAAGTGTTTGGTTGCTGGTGTATGATAATCCTTAATATATTGTTTAAAACTGTTTTTATGTAAAAATGAATATATTAAATAGTCAATATGTTGTTGAGTGATGTGATTTTTGATCTGTTTGTATTCAGTTTATCATCTGGATTTAGCTGTTGGATGAAAGTATAGTTTATACATTAGAATGTTATATATACTCGATATATTTTGGATGTTTATTAAAATTGTATTTGTTGTATTATAAAGAGCAAGTTATGTTCTAGTGTGTCCATCAGTGGCCAAGTGGATAAAATTATTTAATACCAGTAGTTGGTAACAGGCTTGCACCTGACGAATTGACTGGCTGAGTACAGTAGACCCCCCTATAACACTAGATAATTCCGTGTTGTACGAGTCACTTAGATTTTACAAATTATTGTACTGATTTTAATAATCCATAGTAGGATTATAGGATAGTTTGTTTATTTTGTTGCGCCTGTCGGCAATGTGCCAATTTGGACGATAGAGGGCACAAAGAAAAGAAAAAAATGAACTTTGAACTGGTCACCCACTTTCCAACCAGCAGCTACTGTAAACGGATGTTAGAACAAGCGGTCAGCACAAACAACTTCAACCTTCGATTGATGTCGGGCTGTAAATACATTGTATTGTACATTACTGTATATATTCATAAATAAAGAAAGGATATTAAATTCCGATTGGACATGTTCTCATCAGCATTGAGCGATTCGCATAGGGGTACGAACTCCAAAATTTTATTAGAAATATGCAAATATTAAAAATCTGAATTTTAGTGAAAATAATGAATAATATTCATTGTCATTAAGTATGATGATAATATTATGACAATGAATAATATTCATTGTCATTATATTATCAAAAATATTTGGACAGCACAATGTTTTTATAAAAATAGATTTAATATGGCAATTAGTAATTGGTCTATTTTTTGCTTGCATGACAGCAGCAATGTGTCATGACACTTTCAACCAGTTTCTGGCAGGTCTCAACAACAATAGATTGTCATTCATTCAGCAAAGCTGCTATTAAAGATTAGAGCAAAGATGTTTATTGTGATTGATTTTGTATTATTGTTTCAGAGATGTTCTTATTGGATTAAGATCCAAATTCTCAGCAGGCTAGTCCAACATTTTTGCCTCCTTTTTATGAAACCAGTTCTGTATATGCTGTGAAGTGTGATAGGAATTTGATCGTGTTGAAAGAGATTTCTGGTAGTGTCTAAAAACTTTTGATAACCTAGTGTATCTTATAATCTGCATTTAACAAAATCTTTTATTAAATCAGACAATATTATTCTCCAATTTGTTTCAATTAAATTGAACTTATTTGCAGAACTTTTTTAAATATTCAAATATTTGGGTTATTTGTGTATGTTGTTATAGAACTTTTTAAGTCTTTTTTTTTGTCATGTCAGGGCTGTCTGTGAACATGGGGCAAGGGTACATGTAATTAAAGGGGAGTGAGTTTGCAAAAAATACATCATTGTACACAACAGGGAGGGAGGATGTCAAAAGTTGCTCTAAAACTATACAGTATGTAATTAATTTTAATGGATGGCACCTTTGTTCATATTTTATTTTTAATTAAAACCTCACAGCTTAAATATTAATTTTTTGCTTAGATAGTTATATAATAACAATAATTTGAAATTTTTATTATTATATTTTTGTTTTAATAATATATTTTTATATATTTAAAAATAGCAGATAACCTGATAATTCTGTATGACGAGTTGTTGCTGGAGATTGTGTGAAATTGTTTAGAATATGCTTTCTGTTTATACAATTGAGAAGAAAAGAAAAAAGTCTGATGATGATTCCATATTTGAAAGTTTAGAAATTAATTCATTAAAATGGAAGAAAATTGAGAACATTAATTTAAATTTAAGCTATACCATCCTTTTTACAAAAAAGCAAGCTGATAATATTTTTGGTCAACTCGAAAAAGATATAAAATATTTCAGCAATGATCTACTCAAAGTCAAAGTTTTTGGTAAATGGCATGAAATTCCAAGAAAACAGGTACTTATATAAATTTATTTTTTTCAATTTATTATTGATGACCCACTAATATTATCAATATTAAAGACAACCCATTAAAAGCAATTGAAAACTGATGTTTTTAATTGCTTTTAGTGGGTTAAACAGGAATTGATGTTCTTCAACAGAAAATAGTTGTTGACTTCTATTTACATGAGATAATTCAAAACATTCATTTTTTTTCAAATGTTAACTTGAATCTACCATTCACAGTTAAGTATGAAATGGCAATTGGCCAACCAATCAAATTTTACAAAAATTGACTAAATATTTAAACTTGGTTGCCTTCAAAATCCCTAAAAACATATTTCATGCCAGTTGGTAACTTTGTATTAAGTAATTTTCCTATTTGATTGCCACAATCTTGCTGCAGATTGAAGTTAATTTGACCAAAAGTAGTCATCAACTTTCTGGTTGAGAGGGTCGTTTCTGGAAAGTTTAATTGCATTTGCTCAAACCATGCTGAAGTGTATAAAGGACAAACTAATAAACTTTCTTAAAAAATATGTAGAAAAAACTAAAATGCCCTGATTTTTGCTATTGAATCACCAGGAACAGTCTTCTATTCCACAGATGACCTATTATTGTTTTTGCATACTTTCGCAGAGTTGTAGCCTCTAATAAAAGAAGACTGTTGTTTCTGGTAATTCAACATGGCAAAAATCAAGACATTTTAGTCTTTTCTATGTATTTTTTTAATTGTAAATTTGTCAGCTATTTTTTATAACAAACTTTCTTCTTTATATATTAGATTATAAGATCAATTTGAATTCAATATTCTGAATTTGTCATTTTCTTTTATAACAGGTAGCTTATGGAGATTCTGGATTGACATACAGTTTCTCAGGTACTACTATTCCTGCTTTACCATGGACAGATTTAATATCTAATCTGCGTCAAGTGATTGTTTCTGTAACAGGCATCAGTTTTAATTTCGTACTTGTTAACAGGTATTGCTGCAAATTTAACAGTTAATGCAGTGTGTGTGTGTGTGTATTTTATATATAAATATGTATGTTATGGGCCAAGTGATTAATAATCATTATTCATAACATCCAGACATTATGCATAAAGCTACATTCCCTTTGGGCAATTTGAAATTTTCAAAAAAGTCCACTTTTCTTATTAAGAATTATTTATTTTTGTGAATTATTTCCAAGTATTTTAAGAAAAACTCACTCAAATTATATGTTTAATATTAATACAGTAGAGCCTCGAAAACTCGGCCTAATGTGGACCGAAGGGTGGCCGAGTTTGTGAAAATGCCGGGTTATCGGGAATGGGGTTAAAAAAGGATAAGTATGAGTGTTTCCTCAGAAAATATTGTACTGTACTTGTATGTATTGTTTGCTTGAGAATACAACAGAGAATAAACTGCCCAAATACCCTTAAACAAAGGAAAAGTACATACTTTATGAAGGCATAGAGCCTTTACTACATGAAAATGAAAATTAATGAATACACTGTGTACAGTAATTTACTTGATAAGACAGACCTCAGAAAAATCCTTTATGAGGCATAAAGCTATCTATAATGAAAATTAATTAACTAAGGATTTTTTTGCCCTGCCAGGGTGTGGCCGAGTTATCCGGAGTGCCGAGTTTTCGAGGCTCTACTGTATAAGTATATTTATTACATTAAACTCTTTATTAATCAGCACACTATATATACTACATAATAAATAGAATGATTATTAAATCAAGATAACTTTGGCAATTACTTTGCACATAGTATTCAACAAAACAATTTTGAAAAATTTACTTACAAACTAGAATATTTTTTAAAATAAGTATTATTAATAGTGTTGATTAAGCTAATGTTAACAGAGTATTATTAACAAAATTATATAATTTTGTCATAAAAAATCAACTTAAAAAAAATATTTGGAATATCATTTTGGTTTATGGTATAAAAAAGTTTAATATTTTGTTGAATGATAACTCATTCATCATTATATCATTATTGTCACTTTGCCTGACAGATGATAACAGTATTCATACTGACCAGTCAATGTGATAAATTATGATGATTGTTGTTTGTAGTTGAAGTTATGGCAACACAACACTTGGGCAATCTGCCTATGGGGATGCCTTCCAGGGGGTCTTTTTAATGGACACTGGCCCCTATTTAGGTGTTACAGGCATAGAGAAAACCCAGAAAACTCCATGTGGCCAGCCCATCCGAACAAGGCACGAACCCACGACCGAACTCCCAGTGTTCAGGGAACAAAGACCACTTGGCCACTGGTGGGCTCATAAATTACAATAAAGAAAATGAAATTTGTTATAATGCCTGATGTTAGTAGTCATTCATAATGCCCATATTAATCACTTAGTCTGTAACACACACACACACACACCTATTAATTTATATATATAAATTAATTTAAGTGATTTTTTTGTATTTCAGGTATAAGAATGGATTAGATCATATAGGTGAGCATCAAGATAATGAAAAGGAATTAGAGGAGAAAGCTCCTATTGCATCCCTTTCTTTTGGTCAAGTAAGGGATTTTGTTTTAAAACACAAAGAATCTAGAGGAAAAAATGTTAAATGCAAAATAGATCCTGTAAAGATTGAATTAGAACATGGAAGTCTTTTGATGATGAACTATCCCACTAATTTGTATTGGTACCATTCTTTACCCATCAGGAAAAAATGCATTCATCCACGAGTTAACTTAACTTTTAGAAAATTTAAAGTTAAATAGTGATTACATTTATTTGCTATAAAGTTAAATTTAATTTAACTTATTATTGTTACTAAATTTAAATGCAAATGGTTTATAAATGTTACCATACAACTTTAATATCATATCAGACAAGACAATTTCTAAATCTTAAAAATTAAAATATATATTTATATTTAGTTTGTGTTGTTGTTAATAAAATTATTTTCTGTTTAAAATATATATATAATTATCCAAATCCTTGAAATTTTAATTAAGCAATTTTTTAAATTTGCTTTGCTTTGTCAAAATTTAAGCACATTGATGCTAGGTCTCTCACCATCTGGCAGAACCCTGTGGATCCTAAGGTCTGCCAGTGGCTGAGCAGGTAAAATCACTGAACACTGATAGTTGATTGAGTTTGCACCTGATCAATAAACTAGTTCTATGGAGTTTTTCAAATTTTCTTCACATGTTAAATGAGACTGATGCGATTAAATACCAGCACTTTTAACATTTAACAGAGGGTTTATTTATTACAATAACACTTTCACGGTTTGGCTTACATAATATGCATCTGGTTTACACTGGGAGAGAAAGAGATATTTACACCAGTTACCTAGGTTTTTTGTAATTACTGTAAATATATTTATAGCCAGTTATCTAGGTTTTTTGTAACTAAGTGTGAAGATGAAGTTCGATAGAGATGATCTTCCTCGAGAGGAGTCCAGTCAGTCATGCTCCTCTCGAGGAAAACATCCTTGGTGACGATAGACTACACCTTTTATACTATGTTCCTGCAACAGAACGCCAAAAAGTAAGACTGTACTCTACTGTCAGTGTTGTTACAGATGCATACAGTATATCCAAATTTCTTTTTAAATCACCGAATCGTAACGAGCAGTTGATGCAAATATGACAATTGTTTCTGGTATTTTCCCAGTTTTCCTCACATTTGGAGGAAGTTTTGTTCGAGCTAGGAAAATACTTTTCCGAATAACTGTGGCAAAGAAGGCCTGAAAGTGGAAGAAAGTCGGTCGTTACAAATGTTAAAAACTAAAGAGCACTTCGACAAATATTTGACAACAAAGATATGGTTAGACAGGTGGAAGCAGATAAAAGGTTTACTTGTCATTGAACATACGACGGTAAAAAATTTAAGATGGACATAAAGAAAAGGAAGAAGAGGGCCCCAGAGTAAATTGTAGGAAAAATTGCCTAAATGGCTTGTAACAAATTTTGGAAATACTTGGATGACGAGAAGTATTTTTAGGCATGCAAATACCAGGAAATGAAATTTATTATGCGAACTATGAAAATTGAGCATCGCCCAAGTAAATTACGAATTTAAGAATAAATTTGAAGCAAAGTCATACCGTACATTGTCATATTACCAGCAGGTGTTTCGAAGCCATTTGTTAAGGAGTCTCTTGCAATTGATGCTGACGTGCACGAAAATGAATGTCTAAAGAAAATTCTAATCTCTTTTCTTAACATACATCATGAAAATGACGATTTCATCTTTTGGCCTGAACTCCACGGTCGAATTTGCGTAGTGAGGCGAAACTTTTAGGCAAATTTGACTGTGGAGTGTCTCAAAGCTAAAAACATTTCTTTTGGATCCAAAAACAATCGTCAAATCTTCCACAATACCGGCCAATTGAGGATTTATTTGAGTATTTGGCGCAAATAATATACAATAAAGTTGGCCAGCAAAAAATACCACCCGATTAATCCGAAGAATTAGACTTTCACTTTGGACGGTCTTCCTGTCAAGTTTTTAAAGGAGTTGCGAGTCTATCAAAACAAACTTACGGCACATCGCCGACCGTTGGCCATATAATCGTGTTCGTTAATTCTATACTATTGTAAATAAAATCTTTTAAAATGATATGTAATAATTAATAGTTACTTAAATTTTTGGATAAAATATTATGCTTTAAAAACAGTTCAGATTTTTGTCTCACACCACTATTAGCATTTATAATTTTTTAAAATATAACTCATCTCTAACCTTAGAATTAAGCTTTTTGCCATTTTATAATAATTAATTATATAAAAGTTTTTAAAATAAAATCTCATAACATTTGTTATGACACCATACGCAATTTTAAATGTTGTCGGAAAAATTATGTAAATCGTACATTTTTTTAACCGTTTGAATATTTTAAAGTTTTTTAAAATTGTTTTTAAACCCTTTTATCATTTATAAAAATTTTATCATCCCTCTTAAATATTTCATTTGAATCTTTTAGACCCTTTTATTTTTACACGGTTTAAGTTTTATATTAGTCCTTATTCAGTTTATCTCCCATTCCCACTCTCGGTTTTTGCCTTTTACTCTTATTTTTTTTAATCATTTTAATGAAGAGTCTTTATGTTTTAGTGTTTTAATACGAGCATTTTGATTAAATTCTCATTTTTATCTATTCAGTAACGTTATATGCAGTGGCGTAACTACCTCGGAGCAGTTGGAGCAAACTGCTCCAGGCGCACGAATCACGAGGGTGCCAAGTTTGAAAGGGCGAAATAAAAATTTGTAAAAAAATGTTCGATTTTTCAGATTTTCTGTAAAATATACAAAAGATTAAAAAAAAATTTTAGATAGATAAAACTAATTATAAGCACCTAAATATTATAGTATGCACCAGGGCTGTGGAGTCGGAGTCGTCAAAAGTCCGCCGACTCCGACTCCTTTTTACTTCCCAATTTGTTATGTATATAGAACGGAAAAGTATTGAAATCGTGTCAAATTTGACCCTCCGAGTTTCTTGCAAATCTATAGGTTTGGAAACCACCTGAACCCAAAAAATGTCAAATAAAAGGGAAAACTTCGTGTGTGTGCTGGCGTCTAATTTAATTTTTTTTATTTTGTTTTGAGATATTATATAATATCTCAGAATGGGTAAAGTTTAAAAACCGAAATTTGACGCAGTAACTTGTGTATAAAGGGTCATTAATGCTATTAAATTTTGGTTCTTAATTAAAGGTAGACAGGATGGAGATATAGAAAAAGTCGTCATATCTCCAGTTTGGTTGGACTTAATGAATAGCGTTCACATTTTTTTAAATAAAAAAACTCGTCTCTCTCCTCAAAATTAAGCTTTTTGTCATTTTATAATACAGTAGTACAGTAAAACCCGTTAAGATGTTCTCGCTTAAGATATTAGAACAGGGGTGTCCAACCCGCGGCCCGCGGGCCGCATGCGGCCCAAGGCAAGTTCCAATGCGGCCCAATAAACGTGTAAACAAAACCGACAGATTTTTTTTATTTAATTAAATTAATTTATTTATTTCAACGGCACATATTCAAAAAAGACGTTTCACAAAGCAGTAAACCTTTATAAATATTTTAATTTTGAGTGGAAAGGAAACATTTTCAAAAACTTGGAAATGTATGAATGAGGAAGGTATATTAAATAAAGCTGAAGTTGTGACTCAAAAGAGTATAGACTCAAATTCGGGGAAAGGAGAGAAGGCCAAAAGAAAAAAAGATAATGAGAAAGATTAAATATACGAATAAAGCTCTTTCTTATTAAATGAGAAAGGTTAAATATACCTTTTGTCATGCAAATATTGACCCTTAATTTTTCAACTTTCCTAATTTTTTTATCTTGGGTCCTTTCTCTTCTTTTCTTGCTTTGAGTCCCAACTCCAGCTTTATTTAGAACTCCTTCCAGCGTTGCAAGATTTGGCTACTTTGCGCCAAATTTGGCTACCCTTTTATTTGTTTGGCGTAAAAAATATCATTTGACGCATTGGCTACTTTTCGGGTTACACATTATTTATAAATATATTAGTTGAATAAAAATGCACTTTAAAATGGTGTTTCGTCACTTTTTATTAATTAGAGATCCAAATAAAACAAATATTTGTGTTTTTCAAATAAATTTTTGTTTATCTCCTTTATAATAAATGAATTTATTTATTTCTAAATAAAAATTGAAAGTGTCTGTAGAAGTAATTTTTTAAAATATCCTTATTCGTAATAAAGTTTTAATGCTTATTACTATAATCTAGACATGTTAATTCTTAAATATACTTGTATATTTAAGGATTGGGCCAAAACATACTTGGGCCACAGGTATATATATTATACTTGTGGCCCAAAACTCCTCGACTTCTTACAATGTGGCCCAAAGAAACAAAAAGGTTGGACACCCCTGTATTAGAATGTGATTGGGAGCACGATTTAGACCAACCACTTTGAAGCTTAATAACTCCTATGTTCGGGGGCGGATCTACATATGGACTAATAGGGCTTAAGCCCTGGGCCCCTAAGTGTCGAGGGCCCAGAAAAATTAAATTATCATCATAAATTTTTAATACTTTTTCATTAACAATGAGCACTTATCGTATGGTATAAAATAGTTGATGGGTTAGGTTAGAATAGGTTAGGTTTAATAAAAATGGAGCCCCATTGAACTTCAATAAGCCCTAGGCCCCGAAAAACCTAGATCCGCCCCTGCCTGTGTTAAACCATCCGACTCGGATTTAAAATCCACAAAAATTATTGGGTTTCAAACAGAGTGAACAAAATCATGTCCCCCCATAGTCTAACATCAATACATACAGAAAAGAAAACCGAATATTTTGCATATCTCGACATTTGAAGGTTTCCTGAGTCGAAGTGTAAAAATTTGGGGTCATTTTTGACTGATTCCTAGGCTTTCTATTATATACAATTATACAGTATAACAACCAGGAAAATAAAAACTATTGAATACATATTTATATATTGACTGTCATTACTTAGAGGAGTCTTTTATCTTCGGAATAGACACGTTTTTACGTTCTATCTTTATTAGAACTCTATTTATTGAATCATTTAGTCTGAGGTCACGTGATTACATCAAAATTTCCTGGCGTATTTTGGTAACAAGTCTGACCATGGTTGGAGTCGGTAGATTTTTACACGACTCCACAGCCCTGGTATGCATTTGACTTATCATAATTTTGGCTTGAGAAAATATACATTATAAATTTAGCATTTTAAAGGATGTATCGATTCTACTTGATCCAGGGCACTGAATATGTAGATGACACTCATCACAAATATCCGTGTATGCGTGGAGAATCTCATGCCTGACAATGTCTTGATACTTAATTCAATGTCCGGGCAAACAGCTGGATTACGTTAGCGTTAAAGGGATATAAATATACAGACGAATGCATCCCCCATATTTGATCCAAAATCTTCCTCCCAGTAGCTTAGCCGTAGAAAAGTATTGTTATTTATCTGATCTTTATATCAAAGTATCGTTTTAATTCAAAAGTAGCATCCATGAGTTTTAGCAACAGTATTTTAAATAGCATAGTAGTAGACTATTAATATCAATAGTGATGTTAGAACATGGATAAGTTAGGTTAGGTTATTAAAAGGGCGACTTAACCTGCATCGGAAGTGGTCATGCAACCGTATCGCATGGCAAATCACAAAATTAAAGAAGACCATTCTCCTTTACAAAGACATGCATTAATTCTACAACATCCTCATTGAAACAACAATTATTCTCGTAGACATGGTCGACTGCAAAAAATTCCTAGGCTTGAAGATAACTACTGTAATTGGAGTGTTCAAATATTATTGCGTGACCTCGGTTCATATGGCGAGACGTCGAAAACGATATTGCCATAAAACTTATGGTCAACCAATTTTCTGGCAATCTTGTTTCCAAACTGTTAACCTGTATAATATATTGAGTTATCATGAAAGACTGTATTTAGACTCGTTAATTAATTGTAAGTTTAAACTTGAGATATATTTTAGAAATACAGGTATCGTTTTCTTAATGCGGTATTTGATTAAAACGCAAAATTAATCGCAGCAATATACGCGGCAGAAGATTTAATTTATGCGACTTTACTGTCTTTACTCAATGTAGATACCGTATTTTGATATAAGTAGATTAAATTAACTGCATTACTAAGGGATATCTGTAATTTACAGGTCTATCGTTTTCAGTAATACTTGGACAAAGGTTGGAAAAAATTTTGGAGTATATCTACAGTAAAATACAGTTCGCTTTAAAAAATCAACTAATAAAAATAATAAATTGCACAATTTCTTGTTTATTTATATCATCTTTTGTAACACTACATTAACAAAATTAAATCCAAATTGTTTTGACACAAAATTTCATTTCACGAGTTTAATTTTCAAATTCAAAATATTTCGTAACAGGAAAAACAAAATTTCTTTTGTTTGTTTTCTTAACGTGTGTGTGTGTGCCCAAGATAATTATCGAGGGCAGAGTACAATTCTTCCTCCATCCACAGGTAATGTTGTTCCAGTTATGAATGATGAATCTTCAGAAGCCAAGAACGCAATAGCTTTTGCCATATCGTCCACAGTGCCATTTCTGCCAAGAGGATGAGTACTGTTGCTACTTTTAGCATACTATAAAAATAAATTTAGTGCAACTATTTTACACTAGTAACAATTCTTATTAGAGCAATGAGAATTATGTTAATGAATAAAATTATAAAATTAACGTGTGGATTATACAGGGTGGGGCAGAAGGACAGACGTTTTTTAAAAAATCACATCATCTGTTACTACCAGGGCTGTGGAGTTGGAGTCGTGGAGTTTTGGTGTTTTCGTCGGATTCGGAGTCGTCAAAAAATCCACGTACTCCGACTCCTTTTTACTTCCCAACTTGTTATGTATATAAAACGGAAAAGTATCGAAATTGTGTCAAATTTGACCCTCCAAGTTTTCTGAAAATCTACACGTTGGGAGACCGCCCGAACCCCAAAAGAATGTCAATTAAAGGAGAAACATCGCGCGCGTGTATTAGTGTCTAATTTGTTTAATTTCTTTATTCTTTGTTCTGAGATATTAAACAATATCTCAGAATGGAAAACAATATCTCAGAATGGAATGAAATTTAGCACTGTAGCTTGTGTATAAAGTGACATTAATGGTATTAAATCTTGGTTCTTAATTAAAGGTCGACCGGGTGCAGACAGAAGGGGCCATATGTCATATCTCCAGTGCGGTCGAACTTATTGAATATTTTACTCGTTATTAGCGTTCGCAATTTTTTTAAAATAAAACTCGTCTCTACCCTCAAAATTAAGCATTTTGTCATTTTATAATAGTATAGTAAAAGCCGTTAGGATGTTCTCGCCTAAGATGTTAGAATGTGTATGGGGGCACGATTTAGATCAACCACTTTGAAGCTTAATAAATCCTGTGTTAAACCATCCGACTCCAATTTAAAAACCACAGAAGTTATTAGGCTTCAAACAGGGTGAACAAAATCGTCCCCCCACACAGTCCAACATCCATACATACAGGAAAAACACCGAATCTTTTGCATAACTCGACATTTCAAGATGTCCTGAGTCCAAAAATGTAAAAATTTGGAAGGGGTCATTTTTTGACCGATCGCCACTTTCCCTCTGTTATATATAACAGCCGGGAAAGTAAAAATTATTGAATATATCTTTATATATTGACTGTGTCATTACTTAAAAGAGTCTTGTAGCTTTGGAATAAAAAGTTTCTACGTTCTATCTTTATTACAACTCTATTTATTAAATTTTTTATTCTGAGGTCAAGCGATGACGTCAGAATTTCCGGTATATTTTGATAATAAGTCCGCCCCTGGTCGGAGTCGGTAGATTTTTACACGACTCCACAGCCTTACTACAAAAGATATTTGTTGGAAGATGTGAGTTCGTATTGAAATAGCATTTTACAGAATCACGTGTCAGCGGCGGCCTTATCCATTGCGAGGCTCTGGGCGGCAGATCTTTGCGAGGCCCTTGTCCTTTGTGCAAAGTATGTGAATTGAAATAGTAGGCACTTATTAATATTAATATATACTGTACTATAAATTAAATTTATTTTATTGTTATAACTAATAGCCAAGGATAAAATAAAAAGTTTTAAATATCAACTTTTTTCTACTTGGTTGTTGCGCGAGGCCCCTCCAAGAGCGAGGCCCCGGGCGATTGCCCTGCTCGCCACCCTCTAAGGCCGCCACTGTCACGTGTAGAAAACAACATCTCCTATGTGATGCCTGTTATCAGTGATGCCTTTCTGGAGGCGATTTTGGAGACTTCCACGCGAATAGCTTCCTTCAGTTCTTGCAAAGAACGGGCTTATGCTCATATACACGAACCTTGAGGTGTCCCTACAAGAAATAATTGCATATGGATAGGTCGGGCGAACGCCAATAGCGAGGTTGCTGCCGAAGTTCTTAACGCGAAAACGTGTACGTCGGACGTTCAGCGCCGTCATCTTGTAAGCCTAGAAGTTTGACAATGGCGTTTGAAACGTCGAGCATGATTCCACTGACGTTCCAAACACCATTCTCAAACTCCTAGGCTTACAAGAAAGCGACGCTGAACGTCCTATGTACACGTTTTCGCGTTAAGAACTTCGGCCGCAACTTTGCTAATGAATGTCACCGAACCTGGAAATGAGGCGACCAAGGAAGACATGACGAATAACGTCAATTGATGTTCTAGCTGTGTGGGCCGTCGCCCCATCCTGTTGAAACCACACACGTCTGATGGGAATACGTTTCCATCAAACGCAAGGATGCGGAAACGTATTCCCATCAGATATGTATGACTGAACAATCCCCTTTGCGTACGATTGTTTCCTCAGTCGCACGCAAACACACGGTGTTCTATCGTCCACGGCTCCATGCCTTCAACTGAAAAGACAATGCTAAGACCTCAATACTTTCACACTACCAGCCACAAATCTGCCACTCTAACTGGTGGTGAGTTCTAGCCATTTCAAAAACGTCCGTCCTTTCTGCCCCACCCTGTAAAATAAAGTTTACTGATCTGAAATAAAATAATGCATAAAAAATTATTCATTGTTTTCGTTTTATTCTCTCTGTCGTGTGGCCACTTAGAGATCTTTGGTACAAACTCATCATGGATTGGCCACGGCCACAATAAGCATTCTTGACGTCTCGAATGAGAGAGTAGAATCATACTCGCGTAAGGGCACGAGAGATCATTAATCACCCGTTGCAATTCCTAACATAATTGATAATGAAATTGCTTTTCCTCACTATCTTGCCACTCTACTGTGGGCCTGGTCGAACCCACAACGGCTTTCCTCTCCATGTGCACTAAGTTGCCCTTAGTGCACATGGAGAGGAAAGTCAAAAATGTAAAAAATCAGATCATTTGTAAAGTCGATTGCATATCAAATTGATTGCGTCTCAACCAATTGAACCGATGATACACCGATTAGATTGAATGTCTGTGTAACATGATTTGGCATGAGTGATGATTACTCGTAAGATACTCATCATTGTTTTCTGTCTTAAATCAATCAGAAAAATAAATTAATTAATACTAATAACAATGCAATATACAGTATTTAAGAAGTTTTAACGCCATTTAAATGGTTTTATACACATTATACTGGAAATTATTTTACTAGAAACAGAAATTATATAAGGAAAAATTCTTATCTTCGATTATCTTATTTACCTTTTGGGATTCTTCGTCAGGCACTCCCGCATTTTTAAGTAAGTTAGTTTCTACAAAACCTGGGCTGTAAATGTATTGTTATATTTATTATTTATTTAATAATAATAATCATTCAATTGATTTAAATATAATTTATTTAATAAATAGTAATTAAAAATTGTTAATAGTTGATATTATGATTAGATTACATCAATGGGATAAGGCAAATGCATATAGGCTATTTGCCAAGGAGAAGTACCCCTGGAAAACTAGTCCCTATTGGGTATTAGAAACGAAGTACAGAAAACTGTCTTCATAAAATAAGTTATAACAAAACTGTGGATTAGAAACCATTTTCCTATTGGTATTTACCATAAATGAATGATTATCCGTATCATGGACATTCGCAGAGAGAGGAAAACGAGATATTTGCTCCTCCCTGGGATCGAGTATTCCACAAATTATAAACGTAAGTGTGTGAAATTTTATAATAATAAAAAATATAAAAAGTCATTTTTAATAAAATATCACAACAGATTGCGCCATACACGAAGTTTTGTTTAGAAAGTTAAGTAACTCGTTGCTGAATTTTTAAAACTTGTTTATTACTTAAACCTTAAACTCTCCACCATAGGACAGCGTTCTATGGACGAGGGTGTAAGGTTATAATACAATACAAAACCAATTAGCAGGCCCATTAATAAACCATTTAATTAAAAGTTAGTTTTATTTAAATATGACTTACTTAATGCTGTTGATTCGGATTTTCTTTGAAGCAACTTCTGAAATTACGAGATAAAAAGTCTTAATCAATAAATCTGTACTTTTGATTGAAATGACGATAGTTACAAAATAATATCTTACCAGCAGCAATACTTTTGGTTAATTGGTCTACAGCCGCTTTACTTGCACAATACACAGATAAATTCGGAAACTAAATTACAAGAAAGTCAATTGAAATGAAATAGTAACGAGCACTTATTTATTGTGACTTCGTCACAATGCTGGGCTGTAATTTTTAATCATATTTTTAATTTATTTAATTTAAAATATATGCTCCCCACATCAAATTAGTACTGTAGTGTCTTGCCCCTGTACATCACACTTTTCTTTTAACAATAGAGTCGTGCCGGTCATTTATTAACTGCTTTCAATGGAAATTTTTGAATTGAAATAACGTGACTTTCGGTTTTCAACGGAAATTCATATGTAGTTAATCGGGACCTTCTGTCCCTAAGCTTCTCATATCTGGTCTCGTCTTTCGTCTATCTAACTCCGTTCTCGAGATTAAGAAGAAACAGTAGGAATTTTTAGGTCTACAATTTTTTCAAATTGCAGCCCAATAATAAAAATCAATATGTAATTACAGAGTGACTCGTACATATGTCCTGGAGAAAAATACTATAATTTTTCAAGTTTGTTAGAAACAAGTTGTGTTGGGATGATAGAGGGATAGTTGGCACCAGTGACTACCGCGGAGCAGTTGGAGCAAACTGCTCCATGCGCACAAATCACGAGGGAGCAAAGTTAGAAAGTTTTTCAAAATAAAATTAATCAAAACATCAAAACTTATTTAAGAAGCAGCATGTCACAAAACCGTCTTAGTTCTTCGGCTACTTGAGAAAACAACAGCTTATCAATTGAGAAAACAACAGCTTGTCAACTCGATCTGGAGAAAATGATTGACCGATTTGCAAGCGAGAAAACAACAATTTTGAATTTTTTTAATGTACAGTATTGTTATGTATTTGTTCTGAAACTAAACTTGCATACAATTTGTTAATACAGTTTATATAATATGTAGTAAATATTATTAGGTACTCTGTACTTAAAGAATTATATATATTTTTTACTACAGTAGAACCTCGAAAACTCGGCCTAATGTGGACCGAAGGGTGGCCGAGTTTGCGAAAATGCCGGGTTATCGGGAATGGGGTTAAAAAAGGATAAGTATGCGTGTTTCCTCAGAAAATACTGTACTGTACTTGTATGTATTGTTTACTTGAGAATATAACAGAGAATAAATACCCTTAAACAAAGGAAAACTACGTACTTTATGAAGGCATAGAGCCTTTACTACATGAAAATAAAAATTAATGAATACACTGTGTATAATAATTTACCTGATAAGAAAGACCTCAGAAAAATGCTTTATGAAAGGTTTAATACTTTTATAAAGCTATCTATGATGAAAATTAATTATCTAAGGATTCTTTTGCCCTGCCAGGGTGTGCGCGAGTTATCCGGAGTGCCGGGTTATCGAGGGCCGAGTTTTCGAGGTTCTACTGTATTATATTTGCATTTATTAAATTGAATATCTTATTGTTGAAATGCTGTAAATCTCAAATAAATTGTTATTGTCGGAGCGAGGCGAAGCTGAGCGACGACTAACACTTGACTTCATACATCCCTTGTCAACATTATAACTCTAGAATGAGTTGTCCGATCTTCATGAAATTTTCTAGGACGACTCATCATCTCTCAAGGATGAACTGATTAAAATTTCAACTCTCAAAAATGATCAATTTTTGTAGAACTGAAGATAGGGGTCAAAACGAAGGTCGCGTTTTTTTTTCAGTATTAGGCCAAGACTCGACTAGCGTAAAAACAGGCGTAAAAACCCTTCGCCGTAAAAGCTTTTAATCACGTGACCCTGATATTTTACGCTTGAGCAGGTCGTAAAACCAGCGTAAAAGCGAGTTGAACAGTGTTCAACTTTGGATGCGAATACGGCCATAAAACGGTACCATCCACCAATCAGAAGTCAGTTAAATCTAGGTCATTGTGACGAGGTGCGAAAATGGCGGAAAACGAGCTTTTGTGTACGTTCCCTCGTGGCTACTCTAGACAGGGCCGGATCATCGCATAGACAAATGAGACAAATGTCTAAGGCCTTGTCAAACTGTCTATTTTGAAAAGATTTATAAATAAGATAGTTTACTTTTCTGTTGGACAACTGTATATAATAGCCAAATAAACAAAAATATATTGCTTTTTATATGGTTATTGTGAATTCTAAAATCTAAAGAAAATGTGTTCTTATGTTTCTTCTTATTGAAAGTAATTTAATTCATTCTCAGTATTAAAATGTGTAAAAAATTATTTACGAAACTCACTGAGTGAATCAAAATTAAATTCTTTAGCTGTTTTATACATCGAACAAAATGATTTGGATAATATTAATTATTATGAAATAATTGATAATTTTAATGAATTAAAGACTAGAAAACAGAATTTTTAAATAAAGTTTATCCATATTTATATACCGTATATCTGCGCAGATAAGACGATAGTTATATCATAAAAAAAGACCCCCAAAATCCGGAGTCGTCTTATAGGACACATACAAAAAAATTAGATTGAAATTTATATCAATTAAAATCATTATAAAAAAAAAAACAGAAAACCGTAATTATTTACCACTAGGAAGTAGGGTATGTCCACAAAATAGAATAGCCCATACGACGTTTTTGTGAATAGTCAAGGTCATTACCCGAATGCCCGAATCAGAATAAATGTTTGCAACAATTGCATGTCCTGCTGCCAGATGCAAGAAAATAAAATTTGAAGTTCTTTCAAAAAATTACGAATAGGACATAATTCCGTATACGCTATACAGTGTTATTATCCAGCTGATGATCGCTGATCTAAACTAAATTCATAGGCCGTTGATAGTTTCGGGGTCGTCTTATAGGACAGATATATGCTAAAACTATAAAACTTCGACGAAAATTTATATCTCGTCTTATCTGAAGGTTGTCTTATCTGCGCAGATATATTGTACTTACTTTTTTTAAAACTATCTTGGCTTTTATTTAAATTATCTTTATCATTATTCAATTTACCTTTCATGGGTAAAATATTATATTATTTAAATATTATCCAAAAAGATTAAATTAAACAATTAATATTTTAAGGTAATATTGTTATTGTATAACAACTTTTGTTAGACATTTAATAAAATAAATTTCAATTTTTTTAAATTTATAAACAAACTGTTCAAACTTTTCTAGAAAAACTAAAATTTATTGTTGTGTATTAAATATTTTTTATTAATAAAAATTTAAGATTTGTTTTAGTTTTTCACATTATTTAGTTTTGTTTTATTTATTGTTTTATATTTTTTGTATGCTGTATTTCTTGTGGGAGAGAGAAGGGGCCCCGTAAGAAAAAAATGTCTAGGGCCCCAAAGTGAGTTAATCCGGCCCTGACTCTAGAATAAATCTGGAAAGATTTATCGAAAACATCCGAAAGTATTCGTGTGTCTACGACAAGAAGTATTCCGATTATAATAAAGGATGCCTAAAATCACGCGATGCGGACGGCTAAAGGAAAATCCTTCAACTTAGAGGAGTATATAATGAAAAAAGCTAAACTTAATAAGTGCTGTATATCATCTTAATTAATAATACGATAATAAAAGTTAATATATGAAAGTAAAGATATTATTTTTACTACATTTGTAATTATAGTACAGAAAAAAACTTGTAGAATATAATCATTGTCTTTATAACTTCGATAGTACTGTACCGTCGCTGTAAAAACTTCGCTAGCCGGACCTCCACCACAGTCCAGACGCAAACGCAAATAGGTCACGTGGTTAAAAGGTTTTACGGCAAAGGTTTTTACGCCAGCCCACCGGCGGCCGAGTGGACTCCGTCTCCGCTTGATAGTGGTGACCAGACCCTAAACACCGGAGTTCGATCGGAGGTTCGCGCCTCACTCGGACGGGCTGGCAGCGGGAGTTTTTTCCGGGTTTTCCTCCTTGCCAATGACGCCTGAATAGGGGCCAGCTTTCCCTCCAAGTCCTCCCGGAAGGCATTCTGTCTCCCTTTCTCGCGGGGGTCGTCTCCTATAAGGCCAGCTTTGGTTGCTTCGTGACCTCTCTCCTGTCTTCCTCGGATTGGTCGTCTTCTATAAGACCAACTCTTCCTCACTGTTTCTTCTGGAGTGATAAGCGAATAGCAATAACACTCCTCTATCAGCAAAAAGTGAAAGTGAAAGTTTTTACGCCCGTTTTTACGGTAGTGGAGTCTTGGCACTAGAGGTCAAAATGAGCTGACTAAGTGGCACGTCCTACGTGGCAGCGTCTATTTATCGAGCCTATTTATCCAGAGATGAACTTGATCAGTTCCAAACGGCAGTAGAGCTATATCCAACAAACGAGCAAGTTAAACAAAGCAACGAAGACTACTTGCAGTCAACTGGGTGCCCTGTTGCTCATATAGAATCTAAAAACACTCCAGGTATTGCCCTGCCTTCGTCCAAAGATGACTCAGCTTTTGGTCTCTCCAAGTATTTGAATCTCTCAGTTAATGCCAGAATCATGCCGAGAGTCAACTTGTGGGTGCAAGGCAGTGGCGTGCCGTGACATTTGATGATAGGGAAGATGTGTTTCTGTAAGAAGCCGACATCCAGGGGCAATCAGTCAATTGCCCGTCAGTAATGGTCTAGGGTCCATCCGTATCGTTTATTCGATAAGCCAGTAAAAACCGTAGAGTTCTCTAAATGCATTTTTAATATCACAATTACATTCCGAATCGCTAGCCACGATATAAGAGCTACAATTAAAAATAAAATTAATAAAAACTTACTCGGTGAAATAAAATGTGTGGTGGATGTACCGGTACATACCTGGTACAAAATATTCTTCAATTGTATGAATATACTTTTAAAGAAAATTATAATTAAATATAGCTTTGTACATAAAAATATAAAACATTCTTTACTTTTTAAATCTTAAAACAATGCACTTAGTCAAATAGCTCCTTACGAGTGGCTAATGGATGGAATCGAAGACGGTTGCAGAGCGTGTATACACGCGAACTGCCAAATTCCCAGGGTGCCGATACCGGTCAATGTCAAATACCTCTTTTGTCGCATCCCTAGTATATCTCAAAGGACGCGATCTAGTAGACAGTTTCCCCTTACCTTAGCATACTCGATGACTATACCTAAATCACAGGGATTAACTCTTCCAAAAATCAAAATAGATATAGGTAAAAAGGAGATAGCTTTCGGTCTTATCTATGTTGCATTCAGTCGAGTGAAAAAAATAACTGACAGTATTTTTAAACAGTTACAATAAAGATCGTTACGAGCCAATCTAAGTCCAAGGTCCATAGTAATAGACAGAATTTCATGATACGTTTGCATAGCAATTAATTAATGTCTTATTCTGACCTTAAATTTGTACCTTTAAATGATACAACAGAAATCAAGTATATTGTTGAGAACGAATGATTCTTTGTCTTTTTTTCCCTAATAATCTAGAAAATGAAGATGTGAGCAGCCTCGCTCCGACTACACGCTGATACAGCGTTACATAACTAGTTAAGTAAGGTTTTAAATCGAAATAATTAGATATATGTTTTAAAACTAAATGTTCAAAACAAGTTTCGCGAGACCTCTTCTGGAGAACTATGGGCAACACCGATTCTACTTACTCCAAGGCGATGAATATGTAGCTACGCCACTGGTTGGCACTCAAGAAGTGTTTCATAATCTCAAACAAGTACCGTATTTCCACTCACTCATATCCGAGTACAAGAGCATGTTCCTGTAGATGAAGAAAAATCGGTACTGTTTTTCGCAAAGTGCCTAAAAAAACTCGCTAATTTAAAATATTCAATTATAGTTTCAGATGAATTTTTTTTATTTTGATGACTCTCGACGTCGAACTTCAGTGAGTAAGGAAAAAAGAACAGTAAAATCATGTCAAACAAACATCCGGAAAGTCAAAGGCTGTCTTGGAGTTCCTGAGGAGTTCTATCAGTAAAATTAGCCATAAAATTGGAATACTGCGGAGCAGCGCACACTGAAATTTGCAGGAAAATTGTAAGAGCATATCCGTACAAGAATCGAAATGTTCCATGAGATTCCTCCAGGTACCGCTGACATGTGAACACAATTCTCAATTCAATCGACAATGAAGTCATGGACACTCAATTTGTGTGGTTTCCGGATGAAACACGCCTCCATCTGGACGAATAACGAATTGACACAATTATCGATTCTGGGCCATCAAAAATCCCTGGTAATTTGTAAAGACATTTCTTCATCCTCAGAAAACAACCGTCTGGGTGGACACAATGAACACCAAGAAGTAATTCGACAAATATTCATATAGCCTTTCATTTCGACATCTTCGAAAACAAAGTATAGTATTATCATTTTTCATTAATTTGGACAAAACATGGTTTATGCAGGACGGCGCTCGACCATATATCGCTAGGATCAATATGGAACTCATTTTCAGTGTTTTTCGGTGATCCTTTGTTAGGAGTTCAAGTTGTTCCAGAAAAATGCTTATTAATTTTTAGTCTACATTTAATCTGCTATCAATAAATGTCTTAGCAAAAGCATTGAACTATAAGAGAAGAGGCCATTTGATGAAAATGTTTCCAAATGGCTCTCTATTCACTAGATCTGAATCCTTATGACTACTTCTTGTGGAGTTACGTGAAAGACGGAGTGCATAGAAACAGTCTAAAAATTATCAATGACCCAGAGGAAGCTATTGTGAGTTTTTTTAGATTAAAAGTTACACCTCGAAAAAGTGATCGAAAATTTCAAAACAAAACTACAAAGGTGGACACTTCGAGACTGTTATTTAGTATGAAAAATAAGAGACACGTCTTCACCGTTACATAATATATAATTATTAATCAACATGAGTTTATGACAATAACCAAGAAATAAGTGGCACGTTGCTTGAAATACCCTCTTTTAAGCGATGCAAGACACATGTTTCTAATTACAAAAACAAGAGTTTTTCTTGTATGAGCTTTTCATATATGACGAGCATGCAGTTATACATGCGAAAATACAGTATTTGGTGGCGAATTGATAGCTTTGGATGCGCTGGAAAAGGCTGGAGACGATATGGAATAGTTTCTACATAAGCTCCGATTTAAACCACCTATACTTTCCAATATGGGGACACAAAAGAAAGTCTGTATCTCAAATGGAGAACCTATAAATTCTTCAGGACCGTAGAATTCAGGCGATAAAAGGAATTTCGGCAGCGTAGACACTGTTATTGACCAATTTATTACATACTGTGTTATTGACTAATTTTATGAAAACCTATGTCTGAAGACAAACATTTTGAAAATTATATTTCGTAGTCAATTTACTGCTGAATTAGTTGCATCCGATTTGAACTGAATTAGTATTTTCTGAATCATTTAATATTTTTTCACTATAACATATATAGTATATGCCCCACCTTCTGTTATTTCATGCAGATAGCATCTTTTAATGTTTTTTTTTTTTTTAAACTAAACTTACGTACTTTTAGTAATAATTGCTGATATGTTTATTGTTTTCATACACAATTTAATATTTTTATTATTTCAATATTACAAAATTAATCATCAGATAATACAGTACAATAATAGAAATAAGCGAGAGTGAACTGCATAATATTTTATAATGCTTTTAAACATAATTATATAGGTTAAAAGATACAAACAAGCCCTTTGTATGAAAGAGTTGAAATACTCTAAAAAAAGTAAATTGTTTCAATCTTAATCGAATCGAAAGTACCGCGTTTCATAATTCTTTAAAGTCGAATAATATTATTTATTAATTTTATAATTACATTAAAACAATTTCCTAATATAAATACTGCATTTGAATTACAATTATTAGAAATAAATTAAGTAATACTTACACCTCTTTTTGCAGCAATACTAGACACATTCACAATACTTCCTGCAGTTAAAATTTTTAAAATTATTGAACAGTTTAATTTCTGCTGTGAATCAATCGAAATAAAATAAACATTCTCATTTTCTTACCCTTTGTAAGCTCAAGATGAGGAATGCATAATTGTATCATATGAAAAACTGCTCGTACATTAACTCTCATTATTTCATCAAATTCTTTTAAAGTTACTTTTGTCGCTTCGCCAAATCGATTAATGCCAGCATTATTTATCTGAAATTATTCTAAATGTATCACCACTTACAATTAAAACATTACAGTAAATTACAATGTTACTACAATACCCGAGCATTTGCTGAGAGAATTCTTTATTAACAAATGTTTTCAACCTACTGCCTTAGGCCACCATTAGGTAGGTTAATACAGTAAAACCTGACTAAAGAGGCCGTTCAAAATATTACATAGGCAGGAGAAAGGGATCAAATTTTCCCCTTTTTGATCCCTCTCTCCGATGAATAGCAATCATTAGAAATCAAAGCACCTTCTCCCGTAATTATGTCGTCAGAAGTTTAAAACATTCATAAATACACTGAAATTATTTTCAGGCAATTTTCCGATAACTTGGGAGAAAATTAAATGACGAGTGCAATCCTACTACATCCTGACTCTATCGCCAGCAATTGTCAGATACAAACGAATCTCCCTCTTCCTCTGCTGACGTAATACTTGAATGGTTCATAATTATCAAGAATATACACTGTATATTCGTGATAATGATGAACCATCGTACCTGTATGTTATACAGGTCACTGAACGGCGGAGGAATCGATCTAGTTACGTCAATGCAAAGTGTGAGAATATTTTGTAAAACTTTGCTGCTGCAATTTGATATTATTATTATTTTGCTGTCTGTAATTCGACATCTGTGTGAAAAAAATTATTATTTGATAATTATTTTTTCCAAGAGGAGCTAAAAGGTTAGAGATCGTCTGCTAAAGGAGAAAGAAATCGGCTATTTTTCTTTTATTTTTGTTCCTTTCTTTTTCTTGCTATTTAGGAGTCAGTGCGTGAATTTTATCAACAAACGCCAATATATAAAGGCATTTTGTAAACATTATAATATTTAAGTAAGTTGTTTATTAACATTTTTTGTACATTTAACATAAATTTGGATATTAAGTATCATCCCTATTTTAAATATTTAATATGGCGTTTATTTAAACAATAATAGATTTTCATATTTCATATGAACTTTCCACGTTGACAACGTCCCCGTTTCAAAAAAATACTCAAAATTTATCTCAACCATCCAACTTTCTGAGACTTTTTCAAATCATCTCCAGCTGAGGATGGTCTACCTTTTACAATTATGTCATCAACCCATGACACGGTCTGTCTATCTATGCGACCATGAATGGTCCCAAAACGATGCCTGAATAAAATGGAAACTTGCCTAAACGGAAAAGAATTCGGTACGATGCAATTCAGGTTTACACAGGTTTCAATGGACTATATATTATTTTGGATAATAATGAAAAATTCTTAACTAACCAATATATCCAATTTTCCGAAGTGCTTCACAGTTTCCTTTACAATTTTTTCTGCATCTTCTGGAATAGACACATCTCCAGGCACAAGCAAAACCTGAAAAGATCAATTCTATTTCAACAAGAACAAATATTATATCATAATGTTATTTATGAAACTCCCAAACTTTATTTTCAGAAAGTTGTCCAGAGTTGATACATTTCTCCTTCGTGATTTTCAGTCTGTCAACATTTCGCCCATTCAAAGCTAGGAAGCATCCGCAACTTGCAAAATGAACTGCAATTCCTACTCCAATACCTGAAGAAGCACCTGAAAACAATAGATATTTTTTAATATAAAGATTTATCTATTTCTAAATAAGTTACCAAGATAACGAATAGTGATGCTAAATATTACCTAAACACATCGACATCATGTCTGTTAGCATATGCAATTATAGCAGTTATTGTTTCGGTTACATCAACGGTTCCCAACCTTTTTCGGGTGGCGACCCCTTTTTATAAAAGCCAAGTGTCCCGCGACACTGATACAATTGAAAAAGGCATTTTTAATAAGGTAATTAAAAAAACAACGAAATTAGTTTTTTTTACTATAATTTTATTTTAAATTGTTTAATAATTTAATGCGATGGTTGAAATTGCATGTTATTAACCAGTTTCAAAATTCGTGGGTGAGTTTTTGTTAACGCCAATCTCATGTCATTCTCAACATTTAATTTATTCATCTCAAACTCTCAACACATGTTTCAACCAACTGTGACAGAATAGCGTACCTAGATTACACTTATTTTAATTTTAAAAAAAATATATGAAATCATTCAAACTTCAAGACACCATTAAAAATAAAAATTGCATTATAGTGAATATTTTTTTTAGTTTACTGTATAAGTTGGCGACCCCACAGAAAGCCCTTCGCGACCTCCTTCTGGGTCGCGACCCATACGTTGGGAACCCGTGGGTTACATCACACATCCTGTTGTATAAGTTAGTGTGACTTATTCGATAAGAGAAAATGCACCTAAATATGACTAAAGACATATTTTAATTATATATTCTATGATTCAAAAAGTAAGCATAATCGTCCGGTCAACAGTAGAGTGAAAAAAAAAAAACAGAAGTAAATGTATGTGAATGTTTGTAGAGAGGAATTAAAATACTCTGGATGTAGAAGAATGTTCCATTAGAAGCACAAGAATATGCAAAATATAAAGGCTCCGTAAAAAACAGCAGTAACGTGGTATTGTTTCTGTTATAGTTTGACCATCGAAAACAGTTTGTTACTGTTTAAATGTATGAAACTGACAGTGATAATACCACAAACAAGCACATTTTGGATGTGATGATATTATGCCCTGTGGCAGCTTTATACTTAACGGCCACATCGAGCTCTACGTTTATGCAGCATGATATTACTATAAGAAAGTAAAAAAATCCAGTTTTACAGTTCCATGTGAGACTTTTCCGAGATACCGAGAGTGCAAATTTCACTAAAGTAGCATTCACATTTTATTTATGAAAAAATGCAAGCAAATCATATAAGAAAAATTATGGTTAAACATTAGATAATAGAGAAGACATTTCACTGAACAAATTGTTCAGAAATATTGAAATATAATGTTTTTTATTTGTTTTTGTTTTTTTACATTTTTATTGTGATAAACATCTTACGGCGCTCAATAAGGCTGCGATTTGCAACTTATTTTTATCACAGAACCCTTTTCACCTCAGTAAAACGTGTTGGGACCCTGACAGTTTTTAATAATTATATATAAATAGCAAATAGAAACACCAAAAACGATTTATTGAAAATGCAAAAAAAAAAAACAGTTTAATAATGGAAAGCAAATATTACTTAATTCAAACTAGTCATTAATGTAAGTGGTTAAACTGTTTTCTTTCAATGTTTTAAACATCGGTAGTGTCTAGATTTGTATCTTCGTTTGTATCCGCCTTTTCAGCTCCTTGTCACTAGAAAATTTTGAAGTACTGTACTTGATACATTTTTCTTCAAAACTCCTCTCTCAGCCAGCGCTCCTTGATTTTTTAAAACAACTAAACTCTGGTAATTGGTTACGGGTTTACGCCTCACCAATGGCTGAACGCGTAGAATTTTTCGGGTTTTCTTCATACATAAAAATCCAAGCTTAATTATATATTTATTTAAGATGCTATGGCCTTGGCCTTTTAAAGTCCCCAAAAAACAAAAGAAACAAAACAAAAAGATTAGGAAACATTAAATTGGAAGCGCAATTTTGGTTACATTTCGCAATTTTTAACTTGGTTTCAAAATTGCTTTTTTATTTTCAGAGTTGTATTTCAATGAGATATTTAATTAACAGTCAATTTGCGCTGCAGTGAAAGTGCCACCCATTTACGATTTGGTATAATGCATTCAATTCCAAGATGTCTTAATGTATTTTGTGGAGATATGACTAAAAGATTTTCCTTGATGGCCTTTTTGATATGTCCAATGCAGATGCGAAGTAGTCATAATTTCTTCGATGACTGTATTTATTTTTCCGCAGTTTTTATACATTATGGTAGCAGTGTTCGTGTGAATCTTGATAAACTTGAAGCAATTAATCACTTATTTTAATATGTACAGGTTTTATATTGTCTATATTTTTCTGCTGGCTGCTCCATGGAAACTGTTGTGTTACATCAAAATTGTATATGGCTATAATAAAACAATTTTTCTGAACTTGAAGTCGATTTATACTTTAATCTTGGACGGTATTACAGATTGCAATTTCACATTCAATTTTTGGTTAAATTCATGTGTGATTTAGACATTTTATGATATCAGTTCTTGAATTTTCCTGTAAATTTAGCAAGGGTTTTAGTTACATCTGTCAGTCTATCAAAATATTCAAATATTGTATATTATTGACTCTTTTTATCATCTTTTTGTTTAGTAAATAGGATCAGTTCCCATAAAAATTCTCCCTGGAGGCACTCCTTGTCAGATCACGCAAGTATTACGTTGTTTCTTCCATCAATGCATTTCGCGGTATTCCGGTCGAAAATCACTGCTTTAATGCAATTTTTAAAAGATGTATACAGTGCTCGTAGCGATTCACTATTTTCCAGATTGCTCAGTATTCACTACTATTTTTATAAAAACCTCACTTTCCTTACTAATTTTCAGATCTGAGTATACCTTACATGCGATATACCGTAGTTTGGATATAATTATGACGTGTTTATGAGGTGTGAGACAAAATAGATTGGGTAATCATTAATGACGTATATACAGTACCTCGCAAAAGTTCATCATGGCGTCACCAATTGGCGAGAGAAAGTATGGTGATGTCAAAGAAGGGCTAGAGGGATTAGCGATATCCCACGAAATGATCTTGGAGAGTTACTTTACGTAACAAATTTGGAAATTAGCCATGAACGTTATCAAGTTTGCATCATTTTTACTTCGAATTTTTATTAAAATTTCAAAATATGAAAACACCACCAAGATAATTCAATGGATAACGTATTTTGGACGTTATCCATTGAATCTATAACGTCATAATTTGTGCGGATTAATATCTACAATAAATTAACACCGAAATGCCACAACAGCGGCCAATGTTTCGATTTGAAAAAAAAAATTGACGCGGACTTTTGAGAAAGTGGAGAAACTTCATTTCTCCATTTTTTCGAAAGTCTTCAGCAAGTCCGTTCAGCATTATTCGTGACAATACAGGTTGCCTTACCAATCGATGCTACACAAATGTGTTATCCGGTTTCGTTGGTAGCGGTAAACGACGACGTCACAAAAAATATCCCGCATTTGAGTTTATTCGAGGAACTGTATGTAATAAGACAAACGTAAACGTATTTGGTGCAGGTATGCATTGGTATGCATTTTGGGATGGACGTCTATTTGTCCTCTTTACAGCCTTTTTTATTTTTAGCAAACAAACATATATGTCTTTTAGTAAAATTATTTAATTTACATTGTATTTTAGCATATCCGGATACCTTATGTTTGTTTGCTAAAAATAAAAAGACTGAAGAGAGGAGAATTAGACGTCCCTCCAGAGATGCATATCTATGAATGTAATTTTCAACTAATAAAAGAAAATGCCTGTCTGAAATTCTTGTCAAAAGAAGTCCTCCTAAAGAAACGCTGATAACTGCTTGTTAGCTTATAATTCAATTAGATAATAATATGATCACTGGGATATTGGGTTTGTCACCTTTTTATCAGTTTTAGAGTGTTTTACTCTGCTCTTTTCATATTTTGTTTCGTAAACAAAGACCCCTAAGCCCCATTTTTATGTATAAATCCACTTTCGGTCAAATACTCCTTGCTGGAAGCGAATTAACTTTAAGTCAAATACCGAGCCGGCTCAGGCTGCGCGTCAGGTCTTAAGATTTTGGTAGGATTCTGTAAATGAACATAGTCATATATGCTTATTGTCTGCTAACGATAAACAAGTATGACTATGTAAAGCAACCGATCGCTGTATAGAACTGTATTACAAATGACGATAGTCTTTGGTAGTGTTATTCCTTCGCTTATTGAACTAAAATTAATTGAGCACTTCATGGAAATGACATCTATTTTCGATACAATGGGATATTTCATATTTTTACAACGCAATACAGTACTATAAATATAATTAATTTTTGTTAGTGTACTGAAAAAGTCCCTCTCAAATGCCGCTTGAAATATTCGCTTCGCTGCGTTACCCACTGGTCTGGTCCCTGAATACTCGAAGAAAAGTTTTGGTTTTATTCGATTAAAGCAACGCCACACGTGGGTGATCTACCGAGGAGAAATGCCTCCCTGGAGATTGGAAACTGGCCACTATTTAGGTAGTTACTGACGTGAAGAAAACCCGAAAAACAAGTCTACATGTTGCCAACCCATTGGCGAGGCGGAAACTCAAGACCAATGGTTTTATGCACTTGGCCACTGGTGGACCATTTGAGGACGACAGTGGGGATTTGAGGTTTTAGGTATGCAATTTGAAAATTGTAGTTTAAAAACAGTACAGCTCCAAAAAGAATCGGCACGGAAGCACAATCGTATGCTAATTCATTTGCTTTTAACTCTCAGTAATCAGGCATCTGTCTGTGCAAAGAATGGCCAATTAACAAGAGTGTAGTATATTATAATAAACTCAGTTTTACTTTATCGATTTCACAAACATAATTGCATCGTACTCTTCTGTTTAGTGTTGATGATAAGTGATCGATATACATTTGGCTGACTTCATGTAAAGTGAAAAGTTTTAATTCCTTTAATTCAGTAATATTGGAAACTATCGCGGAAGTAAAAAGCAACCGCAAATAATTTCTGGTATGGTGTTGTTCTGAACAATTAATCTCGAAAACGGAGTTAGATAGATGAAAATCGAGCCCGGATATGGAAAGCTTAGGGACCAGCGGCCCCATTTGTACAAACTTCCGGTCTAAACCGGAAGTCGCGTGATTTTTAAATTAAAATACTAAAAATTGTTATTGTGGCATTGTTACAATACGTATTTGTTATTGTAATGATGTTACAATATATAATTGTTATCGTGAAATATGCGCAATGATAAAAAATTAAGCTTACAATTACTGCATTAAAATTAATGTTACAAGTTAACTGGGTGAATTAAGAAAACATGAATAAGAATCAGACATATAATAATAGGGGATAAGCCGGATAATTGAGGGGCCAGATTAGCGAGTATATGCAATATTTAATTGAGATAAATTACTTCAAAAATTTTCTTAACAAAACAAGTATAAATAAATTTACTCCAATCATATTTCTAAGTTAACATTTATATTCAATTGTCTGGATTGTTTATTGTGATACATGGCACACCATGACTATACGCCACACCGATCGGCGTACGTTTGTGTTTCCTGTACTGTACAGTACATTGTTCTCGGAACGAATAAGATTGTAATAAGGTGTAACCTTGCTACTTCCGACTAAAACGAAGTTGCAAAAAACTGATAGTTGTATGAAAGTCGCCATTAGTTTTTTGCAACTTCGTTCGTTGTGACTTAACTTTTTCCAAGAACAATGTAACCAACGGGAGACGACAATCGTAAATTGCCAACGTACGCCGGCCGGCGTATAGATGTTGTCATAACAAACGATCGAAACAATTAAATGTAAATGTCAACTTAGAAATATGCTTGAAGTTTATACTTATTTTGAGAAGTAATTTTAAATAAATACGCTCTCGCTAATTTGACGTTAATTATAAAAAAAAAAAGACGTTTCTGCGACTTGTGCTATTCGTTGAAATTATTTAATACTAAATACTGCTTGTTGTCAAGGCCGTCGAGATAATCGCATGGGCTCGGAATAGGGACTTTTTTTTAATAGTTAAAATACATAGGATGTTTGTTTATTAATAAAAAGCAGTCTTAGTGTTATTTTTACTAAGAAAAAAATCCTTAATTTATAGGACCATGGGGCCTGGAAGTTTTCTGTGGACCAGGGAAATATTCCACTGCCCCTTTCGATGGCCCCACTTGCAGCCCTTCGTCAAATAAAATAAAGATGTAGGTCAGTAAACGAAAATCTTACTGATTTCGACATTAAACAACAGATCGCGACTGGCACAGATATAAACGATTATTTTATTGACAGTTTTCCATTATGTTACCACTATGATCCTAGCTCCATTTTTATTATTCTCTGACAATTTATATTAATTATTATTAAACTAGGTGAAAAAATTTCGAGGAAACATTCAAACGAATATCTGTTTAAATAAACACTGATAAATGCAACCTTGAACTAATCTGTCAATTCTGGTTTAGTATACCGAAATGAAGTATTTTCTAAATACAGGAAGGCATTTTTCTTAAGTGTTAAATAATTAAACTGTAAAGTAAATTAAAAGTAATGAAGTTTTTGAAAATTAAAAATGATTACCTGTTATCAAGGCAACTTTTCCCCGCAAATCAGGCATTTTACAATGTAAAAAGTCAATTTTTAATATCCTTTAAAACGAAGGAATCGCTACGGTAAAATTTTACCTTTACTTTGAGGCAGGTGATATCTATTGGTTAATAATATCACATGACGTTACTCGTTTTGTATGCCGTGCATAACCTTGAAATGCCATAATTTTGTGGTTGAAAGTCAATTCTACCGATAACTAAGAATGATCATCTCTTTAACGACAGTAATCTCACAGAGTGTCGTCTAAGCTTAATTTTTCGCTTTCTGCTTCATCTCTAGTCAAATTATATTGATAAATATTTCCAAAGTTTTAACTGTATTTGAATTATACTTCTTTCAATTCAGTTAATCTAAGTTCTCAATTTGGGAATGGAACTCTTATCAAAACGTGTGCTTGTGGAGTAATTCCAGCCTGTATTGTTGATTTTAAAAGTAGAATTTTTTTATGGATTAGTTTTATTGAATATTTTTATATTAACAATAATTCGCGGTTCTTCCTCCTTTTGTTTTCTCATTTCCCACTTTTTCTAACGGAAAAGTATGATATACAGGAGCAAGTAACTATACTACTAATTTGAGGTGGAGAGCATATATTTTAAATTAAAAGTTGCAGCCCGGCATTGCGACGATGTCACAATAACTGCTCGTTAATTTTTAACATGCTTCTCATTCCGAGTTTAAATAGTCTTGAGGTTTGGTTGATCTGATGTGCAATGTTTTCACCCATCTTTAAGACATTACCTTGTTTTATCTAAACATATAGCCAGCAACCATTCTCTTTCTAAAAACAGACGTTATGTCAAGTATGATAATCCTCTCTGCTTTCTTATCTTCCTGGATAGCTGCTTCACCTACAGCAAAGTGACCCCACTCGGTTCTTGTGATTGACAATCACAATGGTAAAGTGAGGGAAAAAATACATTAGTCTGAAACATTTATAAGGATGTAGAACTGAGTGTGTTGTTCAAAATAAAAGATTTTAAACATTTTCACCTAGGCTTCAGCTAAGACCAGTCAAAAACATCTCATAACTGAGTGTCGCTTACATGAGAAGCATATAAGTGAGAGTCACTATATTTAGGTCAACTTCTCCCATAAAATTTCTAGGTCAAATGTAATGTTGGATTTACTTACAAGTTAGACAAAGCAAAGTTTGGGAGTATCCCTACAAATGATATTTTTATCTGTTATAAATTTTGATGATACCACTTGTGTGTGTTGGTTTAAAGGCTACAGTATTTATAAATTCACCACCCTGGACTGAAATCACATGTACTGAGCAAGACTCAAAATCCATGTCTTCAGTATGGCTGACTGGCACTTTTGTGTATGTTGCGTAGCAAAGCAGCTTTAATACTGCTAGATAAATAACCAAGCCAATGGCAACAGATTTCATATGAAACAGATTATATTATTGGTTTGCTTATCCAATCTATTAAAGCTGCTTTACTAATTTCAGACAGCCATGTAACTTTGTATTTGGGTTTTCTCTTGCTTTTTGTCAAGTGAATTTATATTATGCCTCTCTTCTTTCTGTCCTGAAATTGAAGAGGAACTGAATTAGAACAGTTTGAAATGCATACAGTGTAATAGTAAAAAGTCCTTTTTATTAATTTTTATTTACTTTAAGAACCCCAACAATAGGGCAATTTAAAGTTTTATATTCTTTATATATAGCTGCTTTACTAAGTAATGCACAATTTAACTGTGACAGTAGATGATCAAGGCAAGTTTAAAATCATAAAATGTTACAACTGGATTTTTCATCTTTTTAAATATAAAATTCATTTGTACTGCTTCATATAATCAAACTTAAGACCACCATTTCTTTACCTCTAAAACTAGCACTAAACTGATGTAGCTGAAGCAATAAGAATTACGGTATATAGAATAATGAAGTCTACACAAGTTTCGGTTTAAACTGCAATAACATTGTTGTTTGGAATGCAAAATCAAACACTCCATTTAGAAATTTGCTAATATTTAATTAATATTCATGAGAAGATCCATTTGCTTTTTATTTATATCATCATTTATTAAAACTAAAATTTCAAATATGAATTCAAATTGTTCTCAATTCAAAACAGTTTACTTTCTTTGCATTTTTTTTCACATAGAAAATAAACAATTTTCAAATATTCCCTAATTATCTTGGACACTGAACACCTCTGCCTCCATCAATAGGTAATGTTGCTCCAGTTATGAATGCTGCATCATCTGAAGCCAAGAATGCAATGGTTTTTGCAACTTCATCCACAGTTCCTGTCCGACCAAGAGCATGAGTGGTTTTGCAGTGTTCCAGAAACTAAAGGGAAACAATTTTTTAATGCAATACCTAACTAATAAGAATATAGGTAACATATAATATAAAATAATAGTTTTTTGTTTAAAATTATGAGTGTTCATCAAAATATAAACTTTATTAAGAAAAAATAAATACATATTTTCTGAATTATATAATGAAAACTAACAATACAGAATGGCCATTATGTTTCTGTACATTATCTGCACAAATTAAAATTTTCTCCATTATCTTCAAGGCATCTTCTATGTTGATAGGTGGAAGTCATCAGTCTCCACCAGCATTTTTTTTTTATGCTTCAAGTATTGTAAGGCAAAGCTGAGAGACTTTTTATCTCCACAATGCCTCACAGTGACTCCCAGATGGCTGAAAAGAATAAAGGCATCAGCCTGCCACCAGGAGGCTTAAGATTGGCAACCAGAAAAATTTTTCATGGATGGTCTTGTCCCAACTGTCGCCAATAGTTAGGTCTGACAACTAAGTTTTGTTTCCACGACTAGAAAACAGAAAATGTAGACCAGGGGTATCCAACCCGCGGCACGTGGACCACATGTGGCCCAAGGCAAGTTCCACTGGAGCCCAATAAAGATGTAAACAAAATCGACAAACATTTTAATTTTTTATTATTTATTTATTTCAACAGCAAAAACTTAAAAAAAGTTTCACAAAGCCATAAACCTTTATTCATATTTTATTTTTGAGTGGAAGAAAATATTTTCAAATACTTGGAGATGTGTGAATGCAGGATTACTAAATAAAGCTGGAGTTGTGACTCAAAGGATTATAGACCCAAATTTGGAAAAGGAAAAGGAGGGAAAGATGAGAAAGGACAAAAGGTGTAGTAGTGAGAAACGTTAAATAGATCTTCTGTTAAGCAAATATAGACCCGTAATTTTTCAACCTTTTTCACTTCTTTATCTTTTGTCCTTTGCCTCTTTTTCCCCGCACTTGGGTCTATAATCCTTTGATTCACAACTCCAGCTTTATTTAGTATTTCTTCCAACGTTGCAAGATTTGGCTACATTGCGCCAAATGTGGCTACTTTTTTTTGTTTGACGTAAAAAATATCATTTGGCGCTTTGGCTACTTTTTGGGCTACATATTATTTATAAATATATTAGTTGAATAAAAATGCACTTTAAAATGGTGTTTCGTCGCTTTTTATTAATTAGAGACCCAAATAAAACAAATATTTGTGTTTTTCAAATAAATTTTCGTTTGTCTCTTTTATAATAAATGAATTTATCTATTTCTAAGTAAAAATTGAAAGTGTCTGTAGAAGTAATTTTTTAAAATATCCTTTTTTTCTTGATACAGTTTTAATACTTATTATTATAATCTAGACATGTTAATTTTTAAATATACTTATATATTGGACCACAAGTATATATTATATATACTTGTGGCCCAAAACTCCTTGACTTCTTCCAATGCGGCCCAGAAAAACAAAAAGGTTGGACACCCCTGATGTAGACCTTTTTGTCATCTTTCATTTCTGTTCAGTCTACTACAACAGAAAACTCTAATCCTGATTTTCACAACAGGTCAGACAAAATGATGAATAATGGCATGTTGATTGTTTAAATCTGTTATTATGTCCAACAGGATTACAATAACTGTTAAAGCTTAAAAAACAAATGAATCAATAAGCACTGTTCATTTCAATATTTATCTCTACAGCTGTCCAAAACTCTGATTTTTTTTTGTTATATTAGTACTTTAATATGGTTTGTCTAATTTTTTTTATAAACAGAGATTTTCTAACTTCTTCAAGAAAGAATTTTAAAGTAGTGTTTTGTTTTCTGAGGAAAAAAAATAAAAAAATACATTTTGATAGAAAAAGCAAATTATTTACAATCAAAAGAGAACTGGAAATAGAGGAGTTGAGCAATGTTGAAGTCTATCTATGCATGTGATAAGCCAATCAGACTATTTGACAATGTCACTTTTCTGCCAAATTGTTTTAATAATATGACAATGTCATATTATTAAAACAATTTGGCAGAAAAGAAGATATAAATATTTCTATTTTGGTTGTACTGCATCATATAAGTTATAAGAAAACATCAAAATTATATGCTTAAACTTATAATTTTTATAAGGATTTAGCAATGAAGTATTTCATGTGGAAAGCTCCAAGCTAGTAGCCACATTTGTTTTATAACTTTATGTTTTTGGATAGCATTGTACATTTTATTTGGTTGTCTAATGTATTGCTGTTCAGGTAAAGAAACAGAAAAGTGAAAGAAATGTGTTTTTCTGTCAAATATTTCTGAGCAGAAAATGTCTAGTGTATAACAACAATTATAATATACTTTCTTATTGGTTAAAGTACAATGGAATTGTGCAGCAAATGAAAAAGTTCTAAATTTTGCTTTAATATGTCTGTATTCCAGTGGGCAGAAATTTCTAGAAGGGGAGTTAACTCACTTCTCTGTTTATGCAATACTTTCTGATAATGTGGAAACAAGCTTTTAACAGTTTTTTCTGTATCAAGCAGAACAAATATATACATTATAATGATTAATTTTCTGATGTGAAGAAACTTGATAAAGATCTTATGGATATTTTAATTACAATATAAAAAAATGATCTACTAAAAGAACAATAATGAATTCTAATAAACCTATATATATACTTACTTTTTGATACTGCTCTTCAGACATTCCAGCACGCTTATGTATTTCAGTAACTATAACACCAGGACTGCAAAAAATTTTTAATATGGCCTCTTAGTGACCAGAAAGACTATAAAACAAGCATTTAAAATAAAAATAATAAAAAAGGAGAGAGAGAGAATTTTAATATTAAAGTAACATGTATTTTAATGTATATCTAGGAATAAAAATATTTTCTTGATTTTGCTTTCAGATGTAGTAACATGATATAGAACAAATTTATTTGAATTATGTGTTAAAAGAAACAAATAAGAAATCCAAAAATTTTGACATTGTATGTATGTATACATGTAAAGATCAATATATGTACCAAATATCAGGCTTCCAGAAAACCGGTTAGTTTTGAATGTGGCAGGCTATAATACAGCTGCACTATGTATCAATAGCAAGTATATATTTAGCTGGAAAATCAGAAAATGCAGCTATCTGGACCTCTTCTTGTACCAAGTTTGCCTGATATTTGGTCCAGTACTGTATATGATTTATGTTTAGTATTTTTTCAATAAAACTAAATGAAAAAAAAAAGTTTTTTCAACAGTCAAAAATCCACAGTTTATTTATCAGAGAATATTTACTACTAGAAAATAGTTAATCTTCAAATACAGTGATTTGAAAATTTAAAAATGTTTTAATTGATTTTAAGATTCTAAAAATGAATGGTAAGTACTCTCAAAAGTATTTTATAAACCTGAGTCTTTTCTTATAAAAAAAAAATTGGTTAAATTTTTTTACTTGTTGAGAAACTGAAAGAAACTAAGTTTTAATTATTACTTAATTGGAACTACAAACCAACCAATGCCGTATGTCATTGGGCTACTGTAGATAATGGCTATAATACTAATAAATATTTATTAGTATTATAGCAGTAATCTAGCCAAATGACATACGGTATTGGTTGGCTTGTAATTTTATAATATATTGGGTTTTAGTGATGTTCTTAATTGTAACATTGATTTTTTTTTATTTTTAACACAAAAATCTATGGACAAGACATTATGGTATCAACTCTGGGGCTCTGGGATCAAATCCGAAATCTGGGAAAGCAACTTTCAAGGAAATTTTAATGGGCACTTTGTTCTGGATATCTCAGATCCCATTCATCACTACCCAGCTGTAAAGTGATTTTGTCTCATCTATGATAAATCTGTATAGAAGATTCTCTTAATGCCTACAAGACAAATACCATGCTTTAATTTTTTTCCCTCTGTAAATACAGTAAAACCTCACTATTTTGATAATTCGAACTATCACATAATTTCAAGTCAAGTCTAGTTCCCAGCCAAGAGACTACAATTTTACATATATTTTAGTTTGGATAATTCAAAGTAGGCATACAATGAAATTCAGTCATTATTTGGTGTGGTGACCTGCAAAAATATTGTTTAATTCAGAATTTTTCGACATATTACATGTTTATAAGGAAAGTTTCCACACCCAAGTGGCATTCTCAGTTTTTGTTCTACCAATTATACATTATTGATTTATTGGACATCTGTTCAGGTCATTCAGAGTTGTCAATGAAAAGAATTAAAAACATTTTTTATTGTTTTTATGGAAGAAATCTTTGGCATTTAACTATTTTGTACATTTTTCACAAAAATCTATTACTACAATAATTTGAAAGTTGGTTAAATACATGTGCATATTTATGATATTTGGTTTGTAATCTTGAACTCAAGATGACAAATTCTTCATAGAACTAGCCATTGATCCTCTATATGAAATTTATGGGTAATTCTTATTGATGCACTTAAGCTTTTTTTGTACATTATTTTCAGATCTTGCTTTGAATGTAGTTTGGCCACATTTTCATTGTTTTCATTAAGTACATAGAAACTGTCAATTTTTGTAAAATAGCTTTAATTACTAAGTAATAACTCATAATATTAACGCATCTGTAATCAAACAGTGAAATTATATAAGATAATGTTAGTATTTTTATTCGAGAATTACAAAGAAATTCAACTTGAAAGAAGTTTGAATAATTCAAAGTTGTGTTTTTTTGGTCCCTTGAATTTCGAAGTAACAAGGTTTTACTGTAATTAAACTAAAAACATAAGTAATGGTCATTATCATCAGAAGAAAAAAAAGGTATGTTTAAAACATACAAGTAAATGATTTTCTAAATTTGTAATAAAAATAAAAACTCTGTAATCTGAAATCTTCTATATTGTGCTTCTCCTACAATACAAAGAGAAACATTAGTGGAATCAACCTTTCTTCAGGCAAAGAACTGCTTGTGGTGAAAAGTCAACTCTGCTAGTATTTGTTTTCCTCTAATATGAGGAAAATGAACTAAACTTTTAAGACTGTTTATCTGAAGATTATTGCACATCTTAAGATTTTTTAAATATAATATTTAAATTCAGAAATTAAAATTTAAATGCTATAATTTAAAAACCTGCTTAAACATTGCATTTAGTTCTTCTAAACATTTTTTTTAAACTGAATATATTTTAAATAAAATACACTATTATATTATGAAGTATGACTTACTTAACAGCATTCACTCTGATTTGCTTTGATGCCACTTCTGTAATGATTAGATTAAAATCTCTGATTTAAAATTTGACTATTTTGTCCTTAAAAATGAAAAATGGCTACAAAATACTAATTTCTTACCAATAGAAGTAGTTCTAGTTAATTGGTCTACTGCTGCTTTACTTGCACAATATGCAGATATGCCTGGAAACTAAATAAATAACCAAAAACAATTATTTGTTTGTTTTGAAAAATGGATTATATTTTATCTACACTGGTCAAAACAATTAGATCGTTTGATATTTCAAGAAAATGTACATGCAAATAATTATCTGAAATATAAAATAGTCTTGTTATGATGTGTGTGACAAACAACACAATAAATATTTAAAAACTACACACCATACATACATTCTTCCAGCAAATATGTATTTGATTTAAATACAAAATGGAACATTTTCAATCTCTTTTAGGGGCCTGCATCAAGCATAAAACTTTACAGAACAGAAATTCTAATTTTAGAACATTTAAAAAATTTTATTTTTGACATCAATTCATTTTTGAATGTAACTGAAAATGGCAGGACAAGAGGTAGGTTTCTTATAGACCCATGTTTCAATCCTGTCATTTTTTGACATGATGTAGAGATCAAGGAAATGAGCCTCGATGGTGCTAATTTGGTCTACTTTAAGTGTAAGTCCATAGGGGTTGACAACTTTTCTTCTACACATTATTTTTTAGCTTTAATAAGCAAACCTTACCTGCAAAAATGAGCTGTACCATGGGTAGCCCCATCAGGAGATTTATGTGAACAGATAGTTTGCTTGCTCAAGAACAAAGTGCTGCAACTGAGATACTTAATTACACCTGTTAGGTTGATGACATTTTGGTAATTTGTAAGTAAAAACCAGACATGAGTAAACTTAATGTGACACTTAAAATAGAACAAGTTAGGACTATTGAAGTCAATTTCCTTGATTGCCACATCGTGTTAAAAAATGAAAGTATTGAAACATGGGTTTATAACAAACCTACCTCTTGTCCATGCTCTATTCCCACTGTTTCCAGTGACCCATACCATTAAAAGCTGGCTGGATTTACAGTGTTAGTCAGAGCTTTAACACACTGCTTCAACACTAAAGATACTAAGACAGAATTGAAGTGAATTAACACCATAGCAATAAAGCATGGATATAGAAAACTTATTCTGTCATTACCTTGTAAAATCAAACTTAAGAACAATGCCCACCCTACTAACAACAAGGAAAAAAAGACAACCTTGAGTGAATGAGCAAAAACACCTCATACTTGACTATGATCCAAGGCCACAAGCTACTTATAAAATACCAAATATGTTAATATGAGGCTAATGTATCAGCACAATCCAACCATCTTTCACTTACTATCCAATGCCAAAAATAAGATCAATGGGAAGAGAGTCACCATATTAGACAATAAATTTGAAAGATCGTACATACTTGGGCTCTACTAAGAGTTCATGGACTTGTAGAATTAAAGAGAATCAACAGGACATCTCTAATAATAAACTCTGACCCAATATGTGAGTGAGCTTGGGGTGTCAATCATCTGGGATAAGGCAACTCATAAGGAAAGTCTTTGATGTTCAAAAACTAAGAAGTTTGGAAGCCTGGGAAATTTTTAACACATCAATCAATGGAGAGTGCATTTACTTACTGGTGTCTCAAATAATACTGCTGATAAACTTTTATGGAAAAAACCACTATACCACGAGTCACCAAACTATGGCCTGCGAGCCAGATCCAGCCTGTAAAGTCAGTTCATCCAGCCCACCGCCACACTGTGCCACAGATGAGCTAAAATATAATTATTTATATGGAAATATCATAGATTGTAGATGAATTTACTATGTAGAAAAAATTAAAATAAGTGTAAGTAAAAATGCCAAAATTGGTCCAATCTGATATTTGCATTTGACAGTAACATAATTTTTAGGAAAATCAGTGAAATGAAAAATTCGATTACTTTTTGTGACTTTGTATATCAGAGCACTTTTTGTGTAAGTACCTGCAACGAAGTTCCTAAGAAAAGCAATTACGAGCTTGCTGCAACGATCATGTTTGTGTATTGGTAACTAAATATGTTGGTTTTCTTTCATTTTTTGTGTATTCAGTATACTAAATTGAACAAAATGGTTATGCAGCACATTCTCATCATTCTCTGTTATCTGGCCTGCTCTGAAAAAATTTTGGTAACCCCTGCTCTATACTAAACTTACACTCTGAGCACCTGGATATAGCTCAACACATATAGAGTAAGACCCTGCTTAACGCTGCCTCGCTTAACACTGATTTGATATAATGCAGTCTGATCAAAGCCTAAAAAAGCTCAAAATTTATGCAGATTTAAATTATTGCAGCATTTCATCAATTTGTATATAATACGATTATTTGTGAACACAAACCAATCAACAAGTATTTCCAATGTAAATCTATGTTTGTTTGGTGCAATTTTGGAAAAAATATAACATCATGGATGCCATAGGAAATATAGACTTCACTTGGCAAGAATTAACTAATAAATGCACGAACAAAGTGTGGAAGAAGTTATAGCTGAAGGTATCCAAGAATTCTCAGTGAGAAGAGCCTATTGCTGTATCATTAGGTTGACCAAACTCAACCTAATCAATATAGCAGGACTAGGAGATATAGACAAGCAGGATATCGAGGAGTTACAGCAGGTTTCTGGTGAGAGGCTTACCAACGACGACCTTCACAAACTGGCAGAACAAGGAATTCATGTGGAACTGGAAAACAGAGATTCTGAAAACAAAGAACCCAAAAAATTTCTCTACAGATCTCCTTTGTATAAGTTTGGTAAGATAACCAAAATTGTTGATCAAAATTGTAGTGAATGACTCAGATTTTGAAAGGAGTGCAAAAGCAAAATGAGGCATTTTGGATGCGATCTTCCACTACTGACATTTGCTTAAAAGAAAAGAAAAAAGCGACAAATGAAACTTTACGACTTTATTGCAAAAGAACAAGAATTTCAGAAAAGTCAGGACCTTCATCACAAAAAATGAACTTTACATTTCTGTGTGCGTATGTTTGTGTGTTATTTAACATATATTATTATACAAATTAGTATAAAAATAACTTAAAAGTAAAGTAAAATTTGTTTATTTTTAATTGCGTGTACTCCTATCCCTATTTAATTTATGTTAAAATGACCTCGTTTAATGCTGTTTCGCTTTGCTCTTTGTTGTCTAGGAATGCATCCCCCACATTAAGCAGGGTCTTACTGTATAACCAATACCACCAAGCAGTAATGGGCCTAAAAAACACTTCATTGCAAGCAGGTCTACAACCTAGCTCAGGACTGTGTTGACAAAACTGCATCAAACTACTGGCTGACTAGGGGCTGTCTACTTGGAGAAACTCAGGGGTTTATGGTTGCCATTTAAGATCAGGTCATAAAAATAAAAACTACAGAAAACACATTCTGTAGGATACATCGCTGCAAATAACTCTTTCAGAAAATGCCATATTCTGCCAGATACAATAAAACATTAACCTCTGGTTGCAAGCTCTTAGTACACAGACTATTTACATAGGCATAATCAAATAGCAAATATAGTATATCAAGAGCTTGCAGCACAAAAACACAGATTATTAGATATCCAAGTACCAAACTACAAATATACTCCACAGACAGTATTAGAAAACACACACAAAATATACTATGACAGAGCCATAATCATAAATAAAATAATTCATCACAATTGACCTGACCATTTTAATTGACAAATACAATAAGATAACTTATATAATCCATTCCAGATGATCATAACATGATCATCTGGAATGGAGATGTCTATTATATAAGTTATAACCACTGACCCAACAAATAAGGCAACTGTAGAGGATAGATAGGGTGTTTACTGTGCCTGTTGTCCTCTCTTCCACTGCTATCAAACCACATACACTACACAAAAGTATAGAAATGTTAAACCTTAATAAAAACATATACATGACACAACAGAAAGCCACAATATTGAACATGTCATATTGTTAAGAAGTTTTTAGATATGGGCACTACACCAATAACACAGAAGCTTAATGTTATAGTTATTTGGGTAGCCATGTCTTGACTTTAGTCTGACATATTACTTGGCAACAGTATCAGTTGAGTATGACATTTGCAACATAATAATAATAATAAACATTATTATTACAGAAATTGCTTTTAGTCCTAAGTATAATTAAATTAATTAAAATATCTATAACCGTGATAATCCTTGTATAATTTTTAAGTATACTAAGACCTCTCAATACCAACTGACGAGGGACTATTTTACTATTGGAAAATAGTCCAAAATGCATTTTGGATTTTTACAGTTTTTATACTTATGTAATCATCTTATTGTACACCTCTTTTTGTTTTATTAAATGTTTTACTTTGATTCTTGAGTGTTTGTGCCCATTATCATTGGTGTGATAAGCCCTTACTATTATCTGCCTCATGGTTATAGATATTTTAATTAATTTAATAATAATAATAACTTATACAATAGCTTAAATAACACTTACGCTTCTTATTCCAGCAATACTAGAAACATTCACAATATTTCCTGCATTTAAAATTTTAAAAATTGAGTTAGTTTGATAATAACACAAGCAAAAACCAATAAACACTCTAGTTTTCTCACCCTTTGTAAGCTCAAGATGAGGAATGCATAATTGCATCATGTGAAAAACTGCTCGGACATTAACTCTCATCACCTCATCAAATTCTTCTAAAGTCGTTTGTATCAATTCCCCAGATTTGAGAATACCAGCATTATTTATCTAAAATTATTCAACATGTATCACCATTTTCAATTAAAATAACAGTTATTTTGAATTGTAATGAGAAATGTTCAATTAACCAATATATCTAATTTTCCAAAGTGCTTCACAGTTTCCTTTACAATTTTTTCTGCATCTTCTGGAATAGACACATCTCCAGGAATAAGCAAAACCTGAAAAGATTACTTCTATTTCAACAAGAACAAATGTTGTATCATAATTATTTGAAATTATCATACTTTATTCTCAGCAAGTCCTGAGTTGATACATTTCTCCTTTGTGGCTTTGAGATTGTCGATGTTTCGTCCATTCAAAGCTAGAAAGCATCCGTAACTTGCAAAATGAATTGCAGTTCCAGCTCCAATACCCGAAGATGCACCTGAAGTTTTTATAAAAAGAATAAATCAATTTAATCAGAAAAAATTCTTGATTCAGTAACTGCTTATTGGCTGTTTATTACATAGTTAGCTAAGATTTTTAAAAATACAATAAATTAAATCACAAATCAAAACATCTGAGATGTAAAAAATTGCACCCAGTAAAAAAAATCACGACAATTTAGATGACAGTCAGAATTTTTTTCTTAAAAGTTCTTCTTTGGTAAATGTCGTGTCTATGCGCAATAACCTGAAAGGATGAGAATACAGATGAGACACTTTATTATTCGTACGGCTGGTTACACAGTTAACGGTCAACGATGTCAGCGCGGGTGAAGAACGGTTAAACTGCGTTCCCTTTCTCGTTTTTCCCCTCTCCTCCTTCACTTCCGTCCCTAACCCACTCCCACACCCTCCGATAAATCTCTCACCCCGGGTACACACCCTGATTGAGTCGTATCCGCCACGTGTCTCTCCAAGTTTCCCCTTTCGCTGTTGGTGGGCCCACTTGTTGTTGCATCCCTCACAGTAAAGATAAACTTGGCACTTTGAAGTAAAATGTAGAAAAAATCTTACAGGTACTGTTTTGAAGCACTAAGTTTATCTTTACCAAAGATATAAACACACAGCAATAAATACATTTATATTACCATTTTCTAAATTATTTTTGCATATGTAGGACAAAAAATCTAAAGAAGTATTTTTTGGACTTAGCCTCACTATTATTTTTGAGAATATGTATATTAAATTAAAATACTAAATATATTTAATTTGATATTAATTATTACAGTAATACCCCGAACTTACGCGATAGGTGGGACCAAGCGGTAACCGCGTAAGTCGAATTCGCATAAGTCGGGGTATAATTTCGCATATAAATACATACAAATAATTTTTAATTGGGGCCAGAGACTAAAGAAAACAATAATTTAGAAAAAAATGTTTAATAAAATCTTAGATAATACATATGTATAACAAATTAGGCCTATATTATTTTACAATTTTTCACATTTACTTGATTATTACGCCATAATTTTAACATTGTTTCCATCTCAGCGATAATACTGTGACGTTTACGAATGATGCTTGAATTTAAAGATTGAGCATTTTTCACAGCTTCGAGAATTTTTTCTTTGCCTTTTATAATTGTTCTGACCGACAATTCCGGTAGATCAAACTTCTTTGCCAATTCACAAATTTTCATTTTTGTATCGAAGTCTTTAATAATGGGTACGTTCGTAAAGTCAAACGAGTTAAACGCGTTAGTAACGAATCGTTCGAAAAGTCTAACGAAATAGGAATAACGATGACGTCATTCTCGTTTAACTCGTTCGACTTTACGAACATACCCAATGTTAACTTTACATTCCAAAGATAAAGTTTTTCTTTTCTTGTTTGATGCAGAAGAATTAGTTCTACTTCGTTTGGATGACATAGTAGAGTCTCTCAAGTCTCCGTAGATATAACAAACACAGAAATAAATAACACAAAATAAATTGTAGCTATTCATCGATTCCGTGCGACACGTCCAAACACATAAGCTGAACAATAGTGTGGGGGGAGTGAGTAATCAAGGGTTGCGTGGCGCTCAAACAAAAGACAAATCGATGAGATTTGAAAATCGCGTAACTCCGGGTTCGTGTAAGTCGAGGTATTACTGTATTTGATTATTACAAATAAATAGTAGAGTAAAACTTCAATTTAACAGACTAATTCAGGTGTCCATTAAAGCCAAAAGTCTGTTTTCTGAATATAAATGTTAAAAAAAATTGACAAATTTGTCAGTTTATCTGTTTTTATTTATGTAATAGTAGATATGTCACTATAATTAAAATTAAGTGTGTATGTGATCCAAGTAAAAATACACAAACAGTTTTTGTATAATACACTTTAATTTAACCAAGTATCTAGTATTTAACCAAAAAAATTAACAAGGTTCTTAAAAACAAAAAAAATTTAAATTTGACAAAACAAAAAATTTTCCCATTTGTCTTAATGACATAGCAAGACACATCTGTTGTGGCATGAAGTTAAGAGCAGTGACTCTTGAATTTGAAGAAAAATAACCTGTTAATTTATTTACATATAAAAAGCATTTTAAAATTAACAGGGTATTAATTTTCACATTTGACATGTGGACTGGAAAATTTGCCCATTAAATCAAGATTCAACTGTATTTTGCTAGAATTAGATGATTAAATCTTTTCTTTGTTTATGAATAAGGTTGTTGTCCCTAGGCAATCACCTAGCCCTCAATGGCCAGTTTTACCATTAGTGAACCTTAAGAAGCTTTAAGCTTTTTTTAAGAAGATAAGCTTTAAGAATGATATATATATAAAGTGATCAGAACTCTGTATAAAAAACTATTGGTATTCAACTAAATTTGGTACAGTAGAGTCTCGAAAACTCAGCACTCAGTCCAGATAACTCAGCCACACCCTGGCAGGGCAAAAAAATCCTTAGTTAATTAATTTTCATTATAGACAGCTTTATGCCTCAAAGTATTTTTCTGAGGTCTGTCTTATCAGGTAAATTACTGTACACAGTATATTCATTCATTTTCATTTTCATGAAGTAAAGGCTCTATGCCTTCATAAAGGACGTACTTTTCCTTTGTTTAAGGGTATTTGGGCAGTTTATTCTCTGTTGTATTCTCAAGTAAACAATATATACAAGTACAGTACAGTATTTTCTGAGGAAACACTCATACTTATTTTTTTTATCCACATTCTCGATAACCCAGCATTTTCACAAACTCACCCACCCTTCAGTCCACATTAGGCTGAGTTTTCAAGACTCTACTGTACTATGCAGAGCATGCAGTTCTATTTTTGAGAAAAAATTTTACTTCAAATATACAGCTGCTTGTGTGAAATTTGATGCTGCTTGCACCTTAACATGCATATTAATTAAATATATTTTCTAACAAATTTTGGAAGTTTAGAAACAGTGCGCCATGATTTTATATTGATTATAGATGCTGATTGCTCTTTCACATATAGAAGAGTTTACTTCATTTCTAGCCGTTTAAACACTTAAGTACAAATATTTTCGGCCTTCTTAAAAGTCTGAAAATGTTTATACTCAGGTGTTTAAATGGCTAGAAATGAAGTGAGAAAGGTTTTGTCTTAGTCATTTTAAATAGTGCTAGCTCCAAATGCATAGAAGAAGAGTTTAATAAATATATCATCATCAGGCAAAGTGAGCACATGATATTTTTAAAAAAGGGGCTGACGAATTTACAATTTAACAAAATATGTAATAGAGACTAAAAATATCTTCCTTCACTTGTTGCCATGTCCAATCACCAGGAACAACTATCTTCCACTGCAGAGATGATCTTTCTTTGAGGCTACACCTCTGCAAAAAAAATGAAAAACAATCTAAAAGTTCACAGGTGATAATCCCATCACAATTAAATAATTTCTTTTAATAATATAATATTTCTTTTGTAAAAAAGAAGCTGACAAAGATGCAATGGAAGATAGTTGTTCCTGGTGATTGGACAAGGCAATAAGTGAAGACATTTTTAGTCTCTATGACGTATTTTTATTAAATTGAGCACCTGACAGTTCGCCTGTCCAAGAATTGTGAACATCGTGCAACTCCTTTTTCTACCCAAATTTTGTTAGAAAACATTTGTAGTAATTTAAAGGAACAGCACCAAATTCTGCTCTAGTGGATGAATTTTGAAGTTAAAATTTATTTTCCTGCCAATCAAACAACATACTCAGGATGGAATGCCTACCAAACACGATTGAGATTCATCCAATAGTTCTCTCTACAGAGAGCTCCGAACACCAATTCTTTATGATCAGCCTATATTTTCAAGCTCTATATAAGATTACTGTATTATATATGTACTATATAACTTGTCTAGAGTTTGAAACCATTTTTTGTAGTCATCCCTAATCCTTCAACCCACAGGTGAAGAAATGTTTTATCATCACACATAATCACAATTATTATTTCAAAGCATTATGAGTTTAAAAATATTAAAATGTCATACAATTAGTATTTATTTATATTAATTACAGTTATTATAAAAACACTCATTACAATATTTATATTAAATTCAGCAAAGTAATTTGATACAATCAGTGCAGCATGTGATAGAATGTTTTAACAATATACCTATTACATTTGAGACAGTAGTATTTGATATTTATATCTTTGCACTGGAAACAGCTGTCTTGTGTATTGGGTTCTGTGAAGTTCCAGCTGTAGGTTCAGATGCAAAAAAAAACATGAATTCTTTATCAGTCTACTAGTCCTATGGATAAACTGTTAGTGCAAAGCTTTTTAAAATCATTTCTTCAATGTCAGAGAGACCACAACTATCGTACGCGTAATTAAAGGGGGGAGTTTGCCAAAAACAACAGCAAGGGACGGGGTTAAAAGTGGCTTAAAAATTATAATGTAATTAATGGACAGTCCCTAAGTAGTTATATATTTGTTATACGCTTACCTGTTATCAAAGCTACTTTTTCACGTAAATCTCGCATTTTTTAACGTAAAAACTATTACGTTTAAACTAATATTAAGCAATACTTTACCACGTGCAAGTAATACAAGTAAGTCAGGCACTACGGTAAGCATTAGTTCTAAATTATGTCGCTACTGCGAACAGCGCCAATGGCGAGACTCGATTTGTGGTATTTTCTGTTCATAGTTACAAATTACGAATGCTTTATTCGTGATTTCGATTAGTTAAAAATGAAAATAAGTTAAATTTTTAGATTACTTATAAATGAATGATTTTTTTCATACGCAACGTCAGCCTTTAATTAAGCCCGATGCGAAGAGTAAAATAGCACGTTTATCATTTGTTTATCGTACCGTCGACGTTGTCACTTTAAATATTAATAAAATGGAATGTAGCGAGTAATATAATATAGTCATAAAGTTTAAACAGTACGATTTGTCATACACCGGTACAATACTTGTGTTTTCTGCTCATAATTATAAATGTTTTGTTGGAAATTATTAGTTAAAAGTGAAAATAAATTAAATTTACGGATAGTCACCTTGCTTAAAAATGAATTTTTCCATAAAAAATTAATACTATATGATTATTTTATTCGTAATTCCATCTCATAAAGCATAGGGAGACTTAAAGTCCTATTATTATTGGTAATTGAACGTTCTGTAATAAGCATAAGTATACAGCCTAAAAAAACGTTATTGTTTGCATTAATTATAAATTCATTACCCACATGACATACGCAACTACAATATTGTCTGGATAACATTACCCCATAGGCTATTTTGGAAAGGATACTTAGGAAAGTTTGAGAAAATACAGGCTTCCAGACTAAAACCTCCTCTCACTCACAGCTAATTATAGGACTTAATATTTGCTAGGGGAAACTATTCGGCATTTTTTTTCCTCAATCAGTGCAACTTTAAAATTCAGTATATACTGTACTTCAAATCACAATCTCTAAAATGACTAGTTACTTTAGCTATTTTAAAACTACTTTAATATTTTTCAACTTTTCTTTCTATAAAGTAGCATATTGTGAAACTAGTTCTAAATTCACAGTAAGCATTTCACTTTTTATCCCTTAAAAACAACACAAAATATGTCGATCCATGTAGTGAAGGTTTATCCAAGCGAACTTCGACAGAAAACGAGAACGGTAAAACCATGTCACACTTTACAAAATTTGGTGCAAAATGATGTTTATGGGATAAGCTTAGAACCGTTCTTAAATAAATGTCGCTACGTTTTAAAATAAAAGTAGTTGATTTCGCCAGATATTTTGAAAAGTCGCTACTCAACAAATTTCCAAATAGTAAAAAGGCTATTTATTACAAAACAAATTTATTGATACAATACAAGAAAAGTTGTACACATAATAATTGTGTTAAAAAACAATTAACAAAAAATAATTGAATTGTTAACAACATGAACAATATATAATTATTAGTGTTGCAACGAATAGTATATTCGGTCATACTATTCAGCTTGATTAACGCACGTACGAAAATTGGCGCGCAAACCGCATTATGGCAAGGAAACTGCTCTCTATTGGCCCGCTGTCACTACGCTTCGCCAATCGCGTTAATTCTTGACAGTTGAAACGGACAGACAAGAGCGTCATGGCAGTATGTGATAAGTGATGATATCAAATGTGGATAACAATGAAATGACCTACACGTGTAACAGAGAAGGACCGCGAAGTGAAAATGTGAAAATGAATACGAAATTGAGTTGATAACATAATCGAACAAGTCAAGGCAGCTTATTGGCGCGAAATTCGCGGCCGTCAATGCCAAACAATTGTTTTTATAGACTTCGGAAAGCTAAATGCTTGTAATGAAAGTCACTTAGCGTGCACGGGCGAAAGCCTGGAACCATTCGGGCTACCAAGCTGTCTCGAATCTGTGAAATCATAACTGTGACTTATACTGACATATCTGTCTCTCTTCTCCGTTATCACCAGGCTATGAGTCACGTAATTGTAAAATGGGAAATCTACGACGAAAAAGTGACGAATCGAAAGTATCGTGAGTAGGGTATTATGATGTATGCCAGTGTTTCTCAACCTCTAACGAATCGTCGCCCCTTCACTACAAAATTCCGATGTCGAGAAACAAGGCTAACGCCAAATTCGTACTGCATTAAATAGACTAGTGACTAGTATGTTATTTGTTTAATTATTGTACGATATAACGAATAAAATATCTAATTATTCTTAATATAATGTTTTACTATATCGCCCAGAAAATTGTTTTTCGCCCCCAAAATATAAATTGTTACTAATTGTCCCCACAACATGGAAAACACCCACATGGGGGCGATATCGCCCCCGTTGAGAAACACGGTTTTTACTGGCTTGTCGAATAAACGATACGAATGGACCTTAGACCAGGGATGTCAAACTGCTTAAGTGCCAATTTTTTTTATCTTGAGTATGACAGAGGGCCAGATGTTTTTAGCTTTTGTAGCCAAAAATTTTCTAAAAAGTAGCCCAAGAGTAGCCGACTCAAAAAATTTTTCTAATACCCGAGATTTCACAATAAAAAAAAAAACAGTATTTGTATTTTTCCAGCAATGATTTTAATCACAGAACAAACATTTTCGGCCAATTTACAGGCCTGAAGCAGGTCTGTAAACTGATCCGAAAAAAAATTGCAAGACTGAAAATACAAGCATAAACTAATTTACTAATATGTCGAAAACACGCATTTTATATGCAAAATAGTGCGAATTATGCAATAAATGATCTTGCCAAAACGGACTTTAATTTGAAATTCAAAAGATGAAATAGAAAAAAACGTACTGTAAACAAGAAATTAATAAATCAAATAAAATAAATATCTGTAACAAGTAAGTAATAGGAATAAATAAAAATAAAAACAATAATTGAGTTCAAAAATTTCGTTTATTAATTAACATTTACTGTTTATATAATAGTGTAGAAAAAAATAACTTGACAAAAGCATATGTACAGTATATACCAGAAATTTTTTTCGTATGATAAATTTCCATGCAAGGATCTACACACGGGAACGCCACACTGTTTACAGGAATATATTGATTCTTTTCTAGATCCTTTTTTGATACAAACGATGCATCTTCTTGTTGAATGTTTTTTCGTACTTGTCGGTGAATTCTCTCTCAGAAAATGCCTCTGTTTGGGGTAATTTCCTGCATGTGTTTTCTTGTAGGGACTGCTTTCGTAACTCCACCGATGTACTTCTCCGTAAGTTATCCCACAAGTTGAGTAAGCGTTCCTGTAAAATTATATGTATTGAAATATGTAAATATATACTGAATTTCATCATATTACAACATATAACGCATAAAAGCGATTAAAATGCAAACATATTTACCTCCACACTTTTTATACAGGATAAAAGAATTGAAGATTGTAATGTCCAGCAGGTGACAAAACATTTTGTGATATTTTTTTAGGCGAGTCCTCGCAATCGAGTATGAGATACACTGGTCCGCTAGATCGATTCCTCCCATTCCTTTACTGTACTCCACACAGACAAGTGGTTTTAATTTTTCTTCTCCACCTTACAATTCAAAAATAAACAGATTTTAAAACTCGGCTAATATAAAATTACTATCTGAATAGACTTACTTTTGGTTTGTATTGGGACCACTTCAGCACCATGTACGGTCGATAGCATACATACTTCCTTCTTATCCTGCCACATCAACGTCATCAACTTTTTTCTGTAGAATGCGATGAAATCTCCTTTCTTCAATTTCTTTTTTTTTTTTAATGTCTTCTGGCAGCTCCTTTCTGTCAGCTCAGTAGATAAAATCGATTTTCTGTCATGTTTTCGAAAAAAAGGGCGTTTGTAGGATGCGATGCCTACAAAAGAATGACGAATTGGTAGGTTTTTGTAGTATTCCTTGTAAAATTAATAAGCCGAAAAAAAAACTTGATTTCTTCCGCGTTGGTTTCATTCCATTCCTATATAAAACAATATAAGTTGAATATTTTATTAATTATATAAGTTTTTTATATTTGATATATACCTTGTCTCTGCTTCTACGTTCATAAGAGATGATCTTCTTTTCTCGCGAGTAGATTGTTCGGCGAACAAATTTGTTTGATGAGTGATATGTTTAGTTAGCTCATCATCGAAAACATATTCAAATATCTGGAGTGCACTAGGTTTCTCGCCGAAATCAACGAGCAACTCTTCTAAAATTTTAGAAAATGTTTTATATATATATAATATTCTGACTAACATTTTTCTATAATATTATATTTAAAATATATTTAACTTTATATCATCACTTTTTGTTCTAAGTGGTGATAAACAGTATACACATATATATTTGACTTGTTCGAAATTACTTTTTATTCGTACCTTCTGCGAAAGTGGAAAAAGCTTCTCTTGGTTCTGCATGTGGTATCCACTTCTCACTTCCGAACGGATAATAGGTTTCCTCTTCGTCTTCGCTAGATGATCCAATTCCTAGTATCTCTTCTTGTCGTCCTTCTTCTCCCGCCTCTATTTCATCGTGGGAGGACAAATCACTTCCGCTCTCGCTACTATGAACTAGCAACTCACTGATATCTGACATCTGTAGCTGTTTTTCGGAGCTTGGCCCAGCAATTGCGGATGGATTCATTTTACAAAATGCTTGAGAACAAGTATGAAATAGAAGATGCTAAAGAATGAGCNATATTTAGATATTAAAAAGTAATTTATTATACATATATACACATTTAATGCAGAAATTTCTCATTAAGATAATAAGTTTATCTAATAATATTTTTAGCATTTTCTGTTCTTCCAAATATAATTAGAATATTAATACTTTATTTCCAAGTTCTTACGTTATATTACATCGCAATTTTTAAAACTTACTACCAATAAACAATTTAATTAAAATAGAAGATTAAAAGTAGAAATTCCCAATTTTAATTAAGTTGTTTGTTGATGCTAAGTAGGTATCCTGTCTCTTCAGAAGAAAACAGTTATGACTCCGGTGAGATTCGTTATCCCATCAACGCTTGTCACTGGTGATGACATTTTAACAGCAACAAATTGCTTTAGACGTGTTTTGTTAAAACTGCATAAATTTGTGATATAGCTTATCGTAATAAAAGTTCATCTCATCATAAAATAACTATTCTTTTCCATCACATATTTTTAATAGTAATATAATGGTTTACAGAATGTATTTTTAATTGACTAATTTATTACGGCTGTCCATAAATAAAGTCAACAGTGGAAGAAAGGGAAAGAGATGGACAAAGTCAGACAGGGGGCAAAGGAGTGATTGANTTTTCTTAACTATTTTCTATCTGAAATAAGATTTACTCTTCTGCTGTAAATGTAATATTTTCTAAATGAATGAAATAAAATAAAATTAAGTTTGTACTTTAATATGTTGATACGTGCTTCTTATCCTTAATCATTTAGTATAATCAGGGATGGGCAACCCTTTTCTATGTAACAGCCGTATTTGAAAACTTTTGAACTAACGCGGGCCCCATACAAGAGAAAAGAGGAAAAAGAAATGCCAGTAAATCACAATTATTTATTTATATGTAATTATAAGTTAGCATAGGTATATTAGGTAGCATGGGTATATTAGCATAGGTAAATTAGCATAGTTGCTTTTTAATATTTATATAAACGATATTAAAGGAACCATTTCCAAAAATATTATATTGTATGCAGATGATATTGTTATAACCTATGCAGATTGGAATCTTCAATTAATTGAAAATAATATAAATTCATTGNTAAGTAAAGAGAGGGATGACCTTTAGTGGTTGTTGATCATTAATCACCTACTTAGCAGCTATCTCCCATTCGTTTTCTTTGTTTGCTATCCACAAAATGAGTTATTTTTGCATAATCGGAGGACCTCTTCTTCCATTGATTTAGCTTTCATAATGCGTTTTCTGAGTTCGAAATTGTTGCTAGAATAGAGGATTTCTATCGATCTCAAGAGGCATGCAAAATCATTCTTCATTATATTTTTCAGCTCAACAAAATCTGTAGTTGTAGGGCACTCGTACCAGTTTACAATGCTAAAGTGCCATTAAACGAAGCCCAAATATATTACATAAATTAAAATTTCAAGATTTCAACTGGGAGGAATTATCTTGTAAACAAACTAAATTTTTTCATGAGACCTTCTCGAAGTTAAGATTTTCCAAATATAAATAATTGAATAATAAATTTCATTTACAGATATTAAATGAAACATAATTCAGAAGCCTCAAAATTAGTTGGCGTTTGGGAACTACCAGATATATTATTGAAGAATTGCCACACAGATATGACAAACATTGTCCGAAGGCCTCAAAAGTCATGATTACTGATTACACCTTATTTAATTTAATTTCTTTATATTATTATATCCTACTAACTATTGTACATAATCATGAATTGTATATATCTGTGACAAATTCCTTGTTAATCCACTAATAATTGTAACAATTACTATATATCTAGCATGTCACTATTCTCACTGTATCAAACTGGGTTATACCTATGTGGCGCCCAGTATACGCTGTACCTAGTGTGTTGAATAAAATATATCTGTATCTGTATCTGTATCTGTATCTGTGCCCATGTACCCGGCGAACTCTCTACCCTACTGCTCTGTGGTTGGCAAATATGCCCATGTAATCGGTACTCTACGACTGCATCTACACTTGTAACGCGTCTATTGGTTGGCAATCATGCCCGTGTACTCGGTTTACTTATACCATCTTCTGTATCGCGATCCTGTGGCTACAAAGCCCATGTAATCACTGCATTTTCTGTACATATTTGTAAAAACCACCTTGCTGGCAAATATGCCCATGTACTTCTGTCTATACTGACCAAATCACCAAATGTAAATCCAAGTTGGCAATAACATGCCCATGTCGTGAATTATGTTTAAACTCTATCTGTAAATAACTTATTTGTACCATTTTTCATAGTATCTATAATAAAGGCTTTTTATATCTGTTCTTATCAGCTTAATGGCTCTTCATCAAAACTGATGCCCAGCCTGGATTACGAGCCCTACATTGCTCCCCAGTCCCTGTGGTAAGTATATTTTTGGTGCTACTAATTTCCCTTTCCTTTACTCTTCTCTCTTCCGTCGGAAGAGCGGCCTGCACGGTTTAAACGCACCGTGTATTCGCTGCTCGACCGGCAACACTTTCACTATCGTCGCCAGCTCCGCTTGGCGACGGGTCGGTGCTCTGCGTGAGCACCCTTTCCGCAACTTTCTTCCCCTTCCTGCCTCTTCTTGGTCGGCCGCCTTGCGCCCCAGGAGGCATTTCATCCCCTACGTTCTCACTTTCCAGTGCTACACTGCGATCACATGGCCTCTGTAAGTGAGCTGGCCAATGTCACTCTTCTGGTGCCACTACGTCCACCGTACCACTGCCCGGCGTGCCTTCCTGTATACCGGGATTATGTGGACCATGGGGGCCTATCACGTCATCTCCGCCGCGTTCATGGCGGCAGCCTTAGTTTCGAATGCCGTATCTGCCATGTGCAGTCGGAGAAACTAAAGGAAATTAAACTCCACCAGGCCCGCTCGACGGAGTGCTCTAGCCAACTCCCGTCTATGTCCCCAGTCCAATCCAGCAGGGACCCCAAGCAGCGGTGCAGGATCCCCATCGACCGGAACAATGGACGACGTAAGAAAAGCTACGGTCTTGACGAGACCTATGTGGCCTCCCAGAACGCCACCAGTAGCGAGGCTCGTAGTAGCCCACGTCGGCTGCCCTCCTCGCAGCCAGGGCCTACCGCCACCCAGGAGCCCCCGACCTCCTGTCCTACCACCACTCTCACGCCGTCACCTGCCACACAAGCGCTGCACCTGTCACCAGCTCACGCCGAGAGCGATGCCTCACCTCCGCCCCTTGTAAGGAGACCCAGACGCCGCAGGCATCGCAAATCATCCAGCACTACCAGTCCCTCGGCCAGCAGTCCTGTCGTTACCGCCGTCTCTCTAGCATCTCCATCTCCGGCGAACGACCCTACTGCCACCATCACCACCAGCAACGATCCTCCACCCTCATTGCCAGCGCCCGTCCTCTGTGACGACCACCTGCCTGGCCCACCCCTCGAACCTGCCCCAGCCAGCGATTCGTCGCCTGACCCCCCTTCATGGGTTATTGCATGGCGCGATCGCTTCGACTGCGCAGTCGACGAAGACATGCTAGAGACCATGATCGAGGACCTCACCAACCTCGCCCGTGGCATGACCCCACAAAATCATCGCCAACAGCCTCGCTTTAGCCGCCCGAGGCCACCTCGCTCTCGTAATGGCGGCCGCCACAACAATCCCAACGTGGCCGAGGCATGCAGAATACAACGCCTCTACCGTGCTAACAAGCACAAGGCGTTCGAGGAAATCACTCGCGGAACCAGCCGGTTTTGCCAGATTTCCAGCTCCGCCTTGGTAGAGCACTTCTCCAACACCAATGGCCTATGCCACACGCCTCAGAAGCCTCTCGACGACATCCTTCCACCCGCCCTCCAACCGTCAACGAACAACCCCCTTCGGGGTACTTTCACTCCTGCGGAGGTCGCAAAACGACTCTCCAAATGTCACAACACAGCCCCTGGCCCGGACGGGATCCGATACTACATCTGGCGACGCCTGGACCCGCAGGGCCACATCTTAGCTGCTGTCTTTAACGCCGTACAACGCATCGGCTTCGTTCCAAGCGGGTGGAAGACATCCACCACTATTCTCCTACACAAGAAAGGAGATGTCAACGATGTAAACAACTGGAGACCCATTGCGCTGGCAAACACCTTAGGAAAAATTTACTCCGCCTGTCTTGCCAGTCGCCTTCTTTCTTGGTGTGAAGCCAACAACATCATTTCTGCGGCGCAGAAAGGCTTCATGCCCTTTCAAGGGTGCTCAGAACATACTTTTGTACTCCAGTCCATAATACAGAACGCCCGCCGCAAAAACTCTGAATGCCACGTAGCATGGCTAGACCTTCGGAATGCCTTTGGCTCCGTGCCCCATTCCACCATCTACACTTGTCTCAAGTGGTGCGGCTTAGGCGAACCATCCATCGAATGTGTACGAGGCCTTCTCGAGGGATGTCAAACCCACATCCGCAGCAGCACGGGGCTCACCGACCCCATCTTAGTTGCAGCCGGCGTCAAACAGGGCTGTCCTCTTAGTCCCATTCTTTTTAACTTGGTTATTGAGCCAGCCCTTCGCCTCGTCAGCAACCTCCAGCAAGGCTACCACCTCCACGGATTGGACATATCTTCCTTAGCCTATGCAGATGATATTACAGTCATCAGCGGTTCTGCAAAAGGGCTACAAAAACAACTCGACCTTCTTACCTCCTGGGCCCAGCACAGCGGTCTCGCCTTCAACCCAACCAAATGCGCCACCCTCTCCGTGGCCAGTAAATACCGCTGCGCCGAAGGCCCCAATTTTTGCATCCAAAGCTCGAGTATCCCTCGTCTTAACAAGGACGATTCATATCTTCATTTGGGCATCCCTACAGGTTTCACCCTGGGATCCTCTGCTAACTCCACCATCGACCAAATTCTCACCGACATTAAGCGCATCGACAGCTCTCGACTTGCCCCTTGGCAAAAAATCGATTGCGTAAATACCTTTCTAACTTCGAGGCTTACTTTCCACCTGACTCTTGGTAAGGTCCAAAAGAAGAGTCTAAGCCTGCTCGACAAACACATTAAACGCTATGTCAAACGGTGGTTAAACTTACCTCAGCGTGTGAGCCCTGAGATAGTATACATGCCGCACGCTCAGGGAGGGGCCAATGTCACCCCTTGCAACATCCTAGCGGACGTAGCCCAGGTCAGTCACGCCATTAACATCCTCCACTCCAAAGATCCGGTCGTCGCCACCATTGCTGCCAAGACCTTGCAGCAAGTAGTTGAGAAACGCATCAAGCGACCGCCAAGTGAAGCCGATCTTTGCACGTACTTGGCCGGCTCCATGGACAGTGAATTTGGCTGTGACCCGTACGATATTCCATCGACCTGGACTCGTCTCCGCATGGCCACCAGACGCTTAAAAAAGCGTATCAACATTGAGTGGCATCCCAACGGAAGTGGCACTCTTATTCCATCCATCAACGACGCTCCAATCCGTAGCACAAACACGGCCATGAAAACCATCAGCTCTGCCGTCAAAGCCACCTTCCTCCACTCCCTCCTTGTCAAGCCTGACCAAGGCAAGGCATACAAAATTACGGCCAGCAACACCAACAGCAACCACTTCCTGCAAGACGGCAACTTCACCAGGTTCGCAGACTGGCGGTTCATACATCGAGCCAGGCTCAGCGTAGTACCCCTACGCGGCCTGCGAAGATTTGGGAACGCCAGTCAGACCTGCAGGAGGTGTCAGCGCCAAAGAGAAACCCTGGCCCATGTAATTAATCATTGCCCCCCCAACTTCAGGCTAATCACAAAACGCCACAATGCAATACTGGACCGCCTTAACAACACCTTCGACCACTCAGGCCTCACAGTATATGTTAATCAACGCATACCAGACTTCCCAGATAACTGCCGGCCAGACCTCGTCGTCCTCAACCAGAATCCAAAGACGGCCACCATCATAGACGTAGCGACACCATTTGAAAACGGCGCCGATGCCTTCGTCCGAGCTAGAGAGGACAAGGTACAGAAGTACGAAGACCTGGCTGCCCACTTTCGACGAAGAGGCTACGACACATACATCGACGGCTTCATTGTTGGAGCACTAGGCGGATACGACACAGCCAACGACGCAGTCCTCCAGAGATTGGGCGTCAGAAGAAACTACGCCAAGCTGATGCGCAAATTGATGGTAAGCGACTGTATACGATGGAGTCGGGACATCTATACAAGTCATCTTGGATACCAACACTAACACCCTATGTCGCGTTCATTGCCAGGCTATGTGCCCTTGTTTCCGCGTACCACTCCTTATGTATGTTCTTGCCACATTGGCAACCCAGCAGGCTATGTGCCCATGTTATGCGTCTGAGGCAATGCCTCTCAACACAACTTGCATATTTTAACCCTATGTACTTCTCAACTAGCTGGCTATGTGCCCATGTATATACATACCTCCAATCATATTGGTCAATCCTTGTAAATATCTTATTATATCAATAAATGGCTTTTAAATCTGTTCTTATCTTGACGGGAACAGACGCGTCGTTTGGAGCTCCGTTTGCGGATTGGATTTTATGCGGTTTTAGTGATATTTTTGGAAAGTGTGATATATCATTGGAAAGGGTGAAGAATAAGGATTACAGTGGTGTATTTATTTTAAGTGTGGGACCGTAACTTTTAAAGTTACGGTCGCCGAAAGACTCGAAGACTTTGGAACTGGATAGTCGGAGAGTGGTGATAGTTATAGTGAAATTGGATATATCATCGGAAAGAGAAGTAATGAGTGAGTAAAGGATGAACTTTTTAGGGGTCAATTAGTTAAATTTAAAACAGTTAATCGTAATTTAAAATTGGTCGAAAGCGGGAGAAAAATAAGAGGATCGAGCCCGTTTTCAAGTATTTTGAAAAAACTTTTGAACTAATATAAAGTATAGACTATCAGTAATTTATTCTGGAAATTTGGAAGAGTTTCGATAATCTGGAAAAAAGTTATAGCAATTTTAAATATTGCTAATACTTAACATAGGACCAAAGAAACCCACATTTGGCGCGAATTGCCTAGCAACGGGTCGTTACCTTGGCGACAAAACCCACATTTGGCGCGAACTTTGTTTCGATGTTATGACTCATTATGGAAGAGTCCATTCCATCAACTAGTGGGGAAAATGGTGAAATAAACCTCAAATTAGAAGGAAAAATGAAAAATAAAATGAGAAAAGATAAGATTAATGGAAAAGAAATGCAAAATTTAGAAAATGACTTAGTTTTATCATCGGAAGAATCGGATGAAGAGGAGGAAGATTTAGAAATAGAGGAGGATAGACAAAGGGAATATGAGAAGGAATTAAAACAGATTGAAAAATTGGAAATGTATAGAAAAATTAGATCGGTAAGAATAGATGTGAAAGAAAGAGTGGAGATAAGAAAATTAGTGCATGTGTTGAGTGCAAAGTTAGGAAAGGTTGGAGCTATAGAACAAATCTGCTTCAGACCAGGAAATATAGCGGAGATAACACTAACAACAATGGAAGACAAGGAAATATTAATAGGAGAAGAGATAATGATTAAAGAAAAGAAATGTTTAATAGAAAGTTTAGAGGCTGAACTGCTAAACATAACTCTCAAATATGTTCCGGGAGAGTATAACGAATTTTTGATTAAGAAAGTCATGATGAATTATGGAAAGGTAATAAAAATAAACCCCAAATATCATCCGGGGGAGCCGAAAATAAAAAATGGAACATTTACAGTGATAATAGAAACAAAGAAGAGAGTGCCGAATTTTATTGAGATTTTTGGAAAGCAGATACAAACTTTCTACCCTGGGATGAAAGAACAGTGTAGAAAGTGTGGAAGTTTTGAACATAAAGCAAGGGAATGTGTAATAAAAACATGTCATAGATGCGGCGAAAGCACACATCTAATAAAAGACTGTATAAAATGTCCAAAATGTTTGAAAGAACATAAAGGAGAGTGCAGAAAGTTAACTTTCTCAGAAATTGTAAAAAGAGGATTTCCAAAAACTGTTAAGAAAATAAACAGAAAAGAAACAGATAAGAAACAGGAAAATGAAAATACAGAACAAAAGGAAAATCAGATGGAAATCAAAACAGATACAAAACAACAACAAAAAGAAAATGAGGAAGAACAACAGGAAGAGGAAATCAAAACAATAGAAAATACATTAACGAAATTGGAAGAGAAAAATGCAGAGGATAAAAAAGAAGAGAATAATGATGAGGAAGAAGTGCAACAGGAAATTATAGAAGATGAGAAGAAACAGAAAGAGAAGCTACAAGAAATGACGCAAGAAGAGAGAGAGGAAGGGATGGAAATAGAGAGACTAAGTAGAAAACGAACNCCCCCCCCCCCTTTTCCTTCCCCCCCGTCCCCCCCCTTTTTGGGACTCGTAACCCGAATCCCTCCCAGTCTTCTTCTTCGTCTCCCTCCCACCACCCCTCTCATTTGATCTTAGCTGGTCGACCTCCCTACGCTCTGCCGTGTTCACAGCAAGTCCTCTTTGGATTACCTTTGCTTAGTGTTTGTGCAGTGTGCTTCTTCTATCTAGTGGTGATTATACACCCCGGGGTTCATCGTCGTTTGGAAGAGTGTGTGTTTTCGTGTGTATAGTGATTATCAGGATTACGATGGATACACCCAGCACGTCCAGGTCCTACGCACACGCGACATCGGCGCCCCTTGTGGTCCACCTCTCCAATAGACAGGAAGAAGAAGTCTTCACTGATGTAGACAATACGACACCTTCCAGCCCCTTCCGGCCGTCTTCACCGCAAGTTGCAACTATAGACAATGAAATAGAGCAACACAATGTGGAAACCACGGGACAAGAAGACGAACTGATGGATGAAAAAATAAAGCATTACACCACCAGTAGATCGATAAGGATCTCTACCAGTGGAAATGTCCAAGTAGAAGAAATCATCACAGAATGCGAGAAAATAATTGGAAATATAGGTGAAGTAGAACAAGTCTGCTTTAAACCAAATAACATCATCGAGATAGGACTAACTACTGCTGACGCCAAAGAAAAACTCATAGGGCACAGTATCAAGGTAGGCAGTTCTTTTGTTACGTGTGAAAGCCTTGATGAGGACCTCCTGATGGTCACCGTTAGATATGTACCTAACGAGGCCGATAAGGAGGTCGTCAAGGGTGTTTTATCGGAATATGGGAAGGTTAGCAAGGTGCTAGTTAACACCATCACAATTAAAGATAGGAAATTCAAAACGGGAACATATAGAGTCCTAATAAAGACCAGGAAACTACTCCCGAACTATGTTAACATGTTAGGAAGTAAAGTAGAACTTCATTACATTGGTAGAAAAAAGCAGTGTTGGCACTGTGGGAGTTTGACCCATGAAATCAAAGAGTGTAATCAGAAACTCTGCCACAGATGCAAAAGTCCTCACCACCTGGTGAGGGACTGCCCGTGCTGCTACAGCTGCTACAAAATACACGAAGCCGACAAACAATGTCCCGAACAATCCCTAAACGAGATATATAGAATGGGAGGGAGGAACAAAAATAAAGAAAAAAAAACGCAAAAAAAGCCTAGAAAGAACAACAAAAGAAAAAGAAATAGAAACAGAACAGGATAAAATAATAGAAGATAAGATAGAGAACAAAGATAATAATACGAAAGAAAATAACAATAATAATGAAATAAATAAAGAAAATATGAGTCAATATGTGATAGGTCAAGATACAAATGAACAAACAGATGCAATAAACATAAACACAAAACTAAACAATGCGGAAAACAGACAGAACCAACGATAAAGAAAAAAGTATAGAGGAGAGAATAAAAGAGCAAATGAATGAGACAGTCGTCAGGGAAAAAATTTTAGCTATAAGTCTAGACGCAAGCCTTACAAAAGACGAGCTTCTAGAGGAGGTAGAAAATATAATAAAAACGACAGACAAAAAGAAAGTAAGGAAAAGCAAAAGAAAAGCGGTACAAAACAATAATTAACATTCAAGTCCAACACCCTTTGTATAAAATCCCTTAACATTTCAGGGATGAGAGANATTCTTTAAACTGCATAATCACCTATAAAAGAACGGATTTTAGATAATTTACTTTGTTGGCAGAATGTCTTCTGATTCTGAAGTGGAATATGCCCCTGTATCGTCAAGTGGGTTTGAGGAGAGCTGGTCATGTGGGCTGACAGATTCGGACACTAGCGAAGAAGAAATGGATATGGCATCCACATCAAATGTAAGAAACTGGTGCCCAGTAGATGTGAATAATCCACCTTTGGCTCCTCCGCGTTTTCCTTTTGTGGGAAACCCTGGCGTAAAGGTAAACGTTGGGGACACGTCGGACCCATGGAATATTTTCGATTATTTTTCGATAGAAATCTGATCAATCTTATTGTGGAGGAAATAAACAGATTTCAATCGCAACGGCCACAATCATCAAGCAGTCGGTGAATCCACTGACTGCAGATGAATTTTTTTGTATTCATAGCTATACGTATTTTACAAGGCATTCTAAAAACCCCGTGGAGAGAGGATGTATCGGACGCAAGACGCCAAATTACATACCCCGTTTTTTGGCAGAGTGATTTCAAAGAATAGATATACGGAAATAAAACAAAATTTACATTTCATAAACAATGACACCTACAACCCAGACACACATCCCAATCCTAAACTACATAAAATTTGGCCGATAATTATAGATCTAAATTCAAAATTTTCGCGATTTTATATACCGGAAAGAGACATATCCATTGATGAGAGCTTATTGTTATACAAGGGTCGTCTTGCGTGGAAACAATACATTCCTCAAAAACGTGCTCGTTTTGGTGTGAAATTTTATAATTTATGTGAGTACTCATCAGGATACCTGTACAAATTTTTGATTTATACCGGCAAGTCGTCTGTGTTAGATGAAAAATAGAAAAATATGCCAGTCAGTTCACGGATTGTACTGACATTAGCTGATTCGTTGTTAGGCAATGGCTATTGTCTAACAACAGATAGATTTTACTCTTCCCCACAGTTGGCGGATCATCTTATTACGTGCAAAACGGATTTTTATGGGACCGCAGGGGCGCCGCTAGCTGTTTGAACGCCCGTGTGCAATACCGATTATGCCGCCCCCTGTTTAACTACGACTACCTACGCTGAGCTTGCCAGAAAGGCTCTTTGCCGCCCCCCCTGGACGTGCCGCCCGCGTGCGGTGCACGCCTTGCACGCCCGCTTACGGCGGCCCTGTGGGACCGTACGCACAATAAGACGGGAGATTCCGCCAGCAATCCATAGACAGAAATTGAAAGGGAGAGACAATCGCTTATCAGAGAGGTAAGCTCAAGGTTATAAAATGGCGAAGTGTAGCTTACTGTCTACAGTCCACAATCCTGCCATGGTAACCACACAAACACACGCCGGTAAGTCGGTTGTAAAGCCACAAGTCATTGTCGACTACGACGACACAATGGGGGTGTTGACCTGTTAGATCAACATCTCCATGACTATCCAGTGGCGAGAAAACGTGGGGAGAAGTATTATAAAAAAATATTTTTTCATTTAGTGGATTTTTGTTTATACAATGCTTTTTCATTTAATGGATTTTTGTTTATACAATGTGATGTACAAGAAAAATGGTGGCAAAAAAAAGAAATTTAAATTTTCGAATGAATCTTATTGACAGACTGATAGAAACCTATCACACCGAAACGAGAGTAACATATCAAGGTCGGCCGAGAACAATAGGTCCGCTAAGACTAACGAAAAGACATTTCTTGGACTTCGTTCCGCCGACCGAGAAAAAAGCTGCTCCCACTAGGTACTGTGTTGTATGTTGTAAAAATCGTGACAGTACAGGAAAAAAAAAGAAAACAAACACGGTTTTTCTGCACGGAATGCAACGTTGCATTATGCGCAGTGCCTTGTTTTAAAATATATCATACCCAATTAAATTTTTAATTTGTATATAATAGTTTTTTCTATAAATCTTTATACAATTATATTATATTCCATTTATTTTTCATTTAATCATGTATAAACGTACACAAATTTTTATTTTTATTTTTTACAACTATAAATATAAAATGTTAACAATAAAGCATTTATTTTATAATAGTCCTGTGCTTAGTTTCTTTATATGTTAATGAGAAATATATCTTCTTTAGTTTCTCGAACAAGAATGTTCCTTTCGTCTGTGTAGCCACGGGAGCCCTTCATTGTTTACGAGTCATTTATCCATGAGGAAAACCCTTTTGTTCTTTAACAGCTTTTGACCCGGGGTAAAACAGGTGGCCGCAAATTTCTATAGTTCTACATCTACTGTACATACTAATTGATTTAATTCGAAAGATACTTTATTATAACTGTGATAAGTAATTGTTTCTTACGTACTTGTAGGTCTACTATACTCGATAGTTTATTTTATTCAAAATTTCTATCTTGTAACAAAATGTTAAATAGGTTTTTATGAGATGGTAGGATTATGAAAGGAAAGGCTTACATACTCATAAATGCAATATATCCCAAAAATATGAAAGACACGAATTTTCGAGAGATAATTAAAATATTTAAAACCTCTGAATTTTTAGGCAACATTGCTATTTATTAATTTTAGTAATATATGAAAATTTTACAGATTTGCAGTCAAATTATTATAGTAAATCTTATAATGAGGTGGGTTGATAATAATAAGCGCAGAGCCCAAACGGTTAGGAGTTGAAATTTGGTACACTAGGGTACATCATAAGAATGTACACTAAGAAGGGATTTTTTAAAATTCCTCCTCGCAGAGGAGAGGGAGAGGGTTAACGTTACTAGTTATTAGTGAGGTTGAGGCCGAAGTTTTAAACGCGAAAACGTGTACGTCGGACGTTCAGCGCTGCTTTCCTGTAAGCCTAGAAGTTTGACTGGCGTTTGGAACGTCGAGCATGGTTCCACTGACTATCCAAACATCACTATCAAACTTCCAGGCTTGATAGATTTTATATCAGCGCGAACATAGGAAAACTCATCAACTACAGCTCTAACTATCTGTTAAACTACGGTAAAAAGCTCTCCGATCACAAGATCATTAATATTACTTTTAGCAGTAGCAACACCATAAGAAAAGCAAATAATATCAAAATTAATAACATCATCCTCTCCGACAAAACGTTCCAGACAGAAATCAAAGCAACCCTTGATAAAATAAAAGATGACGTCAACTGGAATAAATGGAAAGAAACAAAAGATAAAATAAAAGTAATAACCAACCAAACCTGGTTACGCATTAAAAAAAGCAACTTCAATAGAATGAAACAATTACAGAGACAACTCAGCCACCACATAACTAACAATAATTATGATAAAATTGAACATACCAATAATGAGATCAGCAACGAAATCGAGAACAAAATAAGAGAAACATACACAAGTTATAAGATGAACAAGTTAGGAATAGAGAGACACACTGAAAAGATAATTTTTAAGAAAAAACCTATAACAAAAGACCCGGATATGATCAACAACTTAATTATTGATGGTATACAAACAAATAACGCAGAAAAAATCATCCAGGAATTTCAAGAGTACTATAAAAAACTTTATCAAAAGAAAACCACAAGATGGGATCAAATAGATGAAATCACTAAACCAATCAAATCAGTCAAAGATATAAAAGATGACATCATCAATAAATTAATTACTAAAGAAGAAATAGACAAGGCTATCGATGAGCTGCACGTAAGGAGAGCTCCTGGTATTGATGAAATACCTGCTGAGCTATACCGCTTTTTTAAAGACGATATGTCCAATATCCTGCATAAATTATACAACGATAATACCGAAAATGAAGACTTCTGCAAAGGCCGGATGAAACTCATAAACAAAACTAATAAAAACATTGGACAAGCCACTGATTACAGACCCATCACACTGCTCAATGTCGACTACAAAATCTACAGTTCTATTATTGCCACAAGGCTCGAGAAGTTGCTCCATAACCATATAAGTCCAACACAAACAGCTGGTATTAGAGAAAGAGCCATACAGGACAACACGATATTCCTTAACCTAATACAGGAGACCTACAAAAGAAGAAAACTACCCCTCTCGATTCTCACCGTTGATGTCGAAAAGGCTTTCGACACTGTGAATCGAGAGGTATTATGGAAAATACTTAATCATATGGGTTTCAATGAGGAAGAGATCAGAAAAATTAAATACATTTATAACAATCCCGTTACTAAAATAACTATAAACCAGAAGAAATCAGACTATATTAACTGCGAAGCTGGGGTAAGGCAGGGGTGCCCCTGCTCAATGATTCTTTTTACTATCTACATTGAAACACTGTTAAACATGATAAATGAAGACAAATTAATCCCCCCAATCCACATCCCAGGTATGGAAAGAAGAATAAAATATGTCGCACATGCCGACGATGTTAACTTCTTCATAAATGACAGTATAGCTCTCAATAGGATGACTACCATAATAAATAACTACTGCAACATAACGGGAATGAAAATAAATATAAATAAAAGCACCATCATCAGGATCTATGGCCATAACAATCTAGAAAGCTCAACCTTCAAAATAGTTAACAATAAAAAGATCCTTGGGATATGGTATGGAACTAATAAAA